TTTATATAAGTTAAGTTAGGTTAGGTAGAAGTTGTCTACTTCCAAGTGAATGCTAAACAAAAATACATAAGACGTCGATTGTCCCCATAAGAATGAGTATAGATATGTATATATATCTATTAAGCAAATTAATGACAAAGATATCTGGGATATAATGACACTAAATATTGGACCTAACTTTTTCTGCCATATAAATTGTATGTATGTTAAAGGGTAATTAAGTAAAAAAAACCCGTTATATGTGAGACTGGCGTGTTTATTATCCATTTACACTTCATATCTGGATATAAGAATTGTTAATGCCAAATCTTTATGCAATCGCTGGAAGACGAACTTTCTTTTTCCTAATTTCATTTAAATCAGTTCTCCATGACCTACCAAAAAAAATCTACAAATCCTTCCCTGCGGGTTAGGGGCTAAAGAATTCACTCACAGTAAGGCGCGAAAAGCGACTAAAATCCAATAATTCGCGCAGCAGTCGGGACTTTATATGGGAACGATCCGAATTTTTTTTCTGGCCAAGGACTGTCATTACCGTAATATTCAAGAAAACAGATTTGAGAAATATTTTTGCGATTAAAACAAGAACAAAAACTTCCACTCCGTTGGAAAGATGGCGTTTTATTGTAATGAAGAAGACGAACAAGATAATAAAATATATAGATTAAAAATAAAAAATTTCATACAAAATAAAAAAAATATATATATTTTAACAACATATACATATGTACTTATAAAGCATTAAGTTGGAAAAAAATAAATATTACGAAACGACGTTATAAAAATAAAAATGTAATAAAATTATATAAGCGCCAAAAATAGCTAATGCTATCATTATGGATACACATACATACATACATACATAAAATTAAACAATACAAGCGCATATATATACATACATATGTACATATGTACGTACCTACATACAAGATAAATAACATAATTTTAGTTATTGTAGATATATATATTTAAGTGTACTTGTACGTAGGTATGTATGTATGTATGTAATCATTTGAATGTAGCAAATCTAAATATTTGCGTACAATCTTCATCTACGCAGTTGGAGAAAAAGTATCAAAAGCACATTAATAAGGAAATTAAACTATTATACATATATGTATGTATGTATATGTTTGTATGTATGAATGTATGCAGAAGTGTACACTAAATTTTATGAATTAGCCATTTAAAGATGTAAAGTAATAAATTAAAAACTTTTTTCGATTATTATATAAGGATGTATATATGTACATATGTATGTATGTAGCGCTCTATATAAATATTTGTAACTCCGTTGGCGTTCCTTGATTACTGACATTAACTGTGAAATACCTAAAATAACCACTAATAGGCGTCGAAAGAGTATTTCTTCAAAATCTCAAAGCTTGGAAAATCAAATACTTATATGTATGTATGTATGTTCATACACATATGTACATAAGTATTTATTGGTCATAAAATCATATCTAAGGAAGTATACATATATATAATATATACATAGTACCCATACATATATGTACATATATTTCCCTTTTCACTACACACTGCTCTATCTATCATGTGTGTATATACATACATATGTATGTATATAAGCATTCACGTGTACTGCCTTTAATCATAACGCAGCAAATCTGAAATATAGTAAACACTCATAGAAAGCGAATTTATGTACAAATATGCATATGTGTAAATATGTATGTATTTATATTATTAAATATTGAAATTACTATGGTCAATTATATTGTTAGCCGCATTAAAACTAGTTTAGTTTAGCTTAGTTTAGGTATTATCAATACATACACGTACATACATACATATGTATATATACAAGAAAAAAAAAAGAAACATTAATTAGAGAATAATTAAAATTAATTGTAAATGATATAACACACATTTTCTATATTTTAATACAAATAATCAGTAATTTCTGATTGGTTTCCTTGAAGGCAAAAAACTGTAGTTAGCAGAAGGCATTAAATAGCTTTATTCATACATACATATATGCATATACACACGTAATTGGCGCAATTTATTGTTTTCGCAAATTTTAGGCGGCAAAAATTTGGAACTGTAAATTAATTTCACTTTTGAGTGGAAACAATTATTATTCCCCGATTTTTCATTTCAAGAATTTGTAAAAAAAAAAAAAACTGTATCAAATGACAGAGATGCATGTACTATTGTGAATACGCCAACGAGTAATATTCACAATATACTAATTTTAAATGATATTCTTAAAGGATTATTCGTGCGATCGTCACAGTCGAAAGGTACGAAATCAGCTCATAATACTGGACTTACATACGTGTATGTATGTATGCCATGTGTGCGTAGAAATTGGGCCTTAAACCTCTCATTCAGTAACAAGCCCAACTACTTATTCACAAACTATTATATTTTTGTTTGCGAAAGTAGTTAGATAAGTTGATTTATTTATAAGAAACCAACACAATCGACTTCTGCTTGTACATACATATGTACGAGTATGTTATTTCATATAACTTTTTCTGTGGCTATGCTACGCTTTAGCTCCCCCACAGAGGTCATGGACTGCTATTAAATCAAATTATTTTATTTACATAAAATATTATAGTTTAATATTAGATTGTGAAAAATAAAAAAAAATAATAATGAAAAGTAAATAAAATGAGAAAAATATGCATAATATGAATAAAAATATTCGGAAGAACGAGTATGTATATGTATGTATGTGTGTATGTAAATACACATTCATAGCATGTATTTGTGTGCATAAAATAGCCTTGCATCTTCTAAATATTTACAGCTAATTCTATTCTATTTCGAACCAATGTAATGGCTTATAGTGGTAGCAATGTAGGTGTGTATGTATGTGCATACAGCTGTATGCATGTACGTGCATATGTGTGTGTATGTAAATTGTCTGTAAGAATAGGCAATCACATATTATTTTTCCATGAATAAAAATAGTATGTGAACAAACATATGTACATGCTTATGTACATGCATATATGTAAGCGTAAATGTTCGAAGGGCATATGCCAAGCAGCCACCACTCTTCCTTTCAAGACATTTCTTTTAATATATGTACATACATATTTAGGTATATAAAGTGTATAGGTATATATGTACATAAATGAAGTACACATAATATCTGTATGACAAACACATGTACATACATACATACATATGTATATTACAAATAGCTTACACCTGCTTATTACACTCATATCGCATTTATCATTTTTTCACTTATTTACATACACTAATATGTACATATTATATACATAAATATGTAAAAGCCTATGTACATACATATAAAATATTCAACAGTCGCACTACTGGCGTTGTAGGTATATAAATAAACATATATCTACATATGTATGTAAGTATGTAAGTATGTACATATGTATGTATATACTGCCAAGAAAATAGGGCCAATGATTAATAAAGTGATGGGTGTTATTTGCTGTTTCGTTTTTTATTACTTTTTGTTATTTTCCAAATGTTTTTACAGCCTATAATAAGCAACAACAACAAAATAAAATTTAAAAAAAATAACCACAGCAATATATGTACATGTACATATGTACGTGTATGTATGTAAGTAGAGATGTAATGAAATTAGAATTTCGGTCATATAAAATTAACATCCGTCAGTCAGTTAGTTAACGCTAACGAAACCTGTTTGTACACATACATACATATGTACATACGAACATAAGAAATAAGAAGTCAATAAAATAAAAAGCTCTAAATTTAATACATTATTTACTTATAATTTAAGAAGTGCAAAGCAGTAACCAGAGTTTTTTTCATTTTATTTTTTATTTTTTTATTTTTTTTTTTATTTTTTTTTGAATTTTTTTTATTTTTTTTTATTTCCATTTTTTTGGCTTTTTGATTATATGCGATTACTTGATCGTTTGATTACTTTGGTTGGCTGGTTTGTTGGTTGAATGGCAGACAGACGAGCAATCGGTTCAATATGCTTAGCCGTAAATGCCTTCAATGATGAGCTGAATAACAAACAAACAAATTTTTTTTTTTTTTTTTTTTTTTTTTTTTTTTTTTTTTTATTTTTTTTTTATTTTTTTTTATTTTTTTTTATTTTTTTTTTTTATACATACATGTATGTGCATATAAACAAAAAAGTGCTTAAAATAACGATACTTTTTAAAATACATACTAACATATGTACATATATACATACATTTTGACTACAAACCATCAAATAATAGGTGAGCGCTTGTCTGGCAAGCCAAACCGCCGTCGCACAGACAAGAGCAAAAAAAAAAGAAAATTATTGAAAATTGTTTTCGGCTCCATTAATGAACACACACATACACCCACATACCTATATAGTATATGTACATACACTGGATTTGTCGCTAAGTTTATTTTGTTTTAAACATTTATGTTTTTAATTTTCTCTTTTTGGGTTTTCCTACATTCATACACTAACAAATTGTTGAGCGACGTTGATTGATAAGCGCTATTGGGTGGTTGTGTACATGTGTATGTGCATACATATATGTATCAGTTAAAAGCCATATTACACACTATACATACATATGTACATATGTATGTATGAATGGATACATATACATAGACATTGACTGATAACACGCTGAAAACAAATAAAATACTAATATTAAGCTACAACTCAGCCGTCCGAACCTACCCGAAGTATTGTGAATATATTTGCGTGCTATAAATAATAAGTTATAAAAAATACACACACACCACATACATACAAATATATATGTATATATGTATATATATCAATAAATGTATGTACATGCCTATGCACCCCTTGTACTTTTTGCCTACGCCAACTTGTCTAATTGGCAATTACAGCATAGCTGTAGATATTTTTATATGCACCTTCGCTTATTCATATATTATACATACAAACGTGTACATGCATGCATATGTGTGTATAAATATTAATTATTTTTAAAGATTTTAGCACCTTTCTATCGGCGTTAATACATAGTGACAGCCAAAAACTTGCTTACCTCATCTTTCATGTAACCCGCAACAAGTCCAATCCGCTGATCGCAATCAATAATACGTCCATCTATTAAATGTCGCGTCTTATATTCCAGACGACCATTGGTACTTTCACAGAACAGGACATTGGCTATCTTTGGCGTGCGTATGATACGTGCCATAGCCACAAAGACCACATCGTTGCCACTAATGCCGTGTCTAGCTGCCTGTGCTATGACATCGTGTTGCAACATATGCACGCCACCGTTGGTACCGTTACCGTTGTTGCGTGTGCGTCGTATCAATTGTGAGACAATTGGAAATGTACCAGATGAGCAGGAGAAGTCACTGCGTCGGTAACAACCATCAAAACGCATTAATTCATATTTTCGATTTGCTTCCGAGCGTGTACCAGCGCGCGCTAAACGTACCAAAAAGGTACGTTTATCGTTACGCAAGCGTTCATCAATATCATTTAAATATGCATCATTTTGTGTTGTATTATTGTTATTATTGCCGGCACTATCTCTAAAGAAGGGCTCTGTTGTTTGTCTACTAGTAGTATTAAAATTTGCCTGCTCATCGTTATTTGGTGACGTCTGCTGCATATTATATTCATTGCTATTGCGGAATAGTGCTTCCATGTCACGTGGTATAAGATTCTCAAGCATAGCCGCGTGATCATCTGGATGTGTTATGCTTAATATATTTTGGCCATAAAGATCCGTTTGACAATGGCCGAGTATTTTTTCTACAGTCGAGGATATTACAACAATTTGTCCGTGTGCGGTGATTGCAACAAAGAAACTGTCCAGTATGTGTGTAAGTGCATTGGCGAAATCGGGATCATCACAGATCTTGGAAACCTTCTGTTTTCGCCATACAGATTTTCCAAATATATATTGTACACGCAATCCATGCGCGGCACAACGCAATATACCAGTCTTGTCTAGACGTCGTGTGGAATCCGCCACATGCGGCACCATGGATGCCAGCTCCTGTATATATGCATTCTGTTTATCTCTGCGATGCTTCTCGGCTAAATTGCGTGCTTCACGACTGCTATGTGAGCCGCCACCTTCACCTTCAGCTCCAGCCATAGTTTTTGTATGTTAAAAAAGAATAAGTACTTTTTTCTACACCGACACCCGCAGCACTTTTTACCTGTGATTTAGTATATTTGTTTTGCACTTGTTATTGCTGACCGTTTTTTTCTTATTTGATTATTATTCACTATATCTGCTGGAAGTCACAAGCCATTCCTTCGCACTTTACCTTGCTTATGTTCTAAGCAATGTTCGTCGTCTTTTTTCTCAAGGTCTCACTTCTATGGGTCTGGCCACCGCCGTCATGCCGTATACCCCGCTTGAAATTTTATTCGTGTTTTCTTTACGCTTTTCCCTTTTTAGGTCTCACTTGGTTGCGTGTCCGTTCTCACTTTACTACGTACTACTAGCCTCGCCAGCGATCTTTTTATAATACTAATAAAACTTCAATGCCCGTTTGTGGCTTTACCACAAAATCGTTAATATAGTTTTAATAGATTTTCCACTAATTTAAACGATTTGCACCATTTTTTTCTTTTATTAAGCACTTAAATGGAAAACTTTTGTTTTGTTATGTCTTCTCTGCTCATTTACTTTTTATAAGCTGCGCAACAGAGAACGGTGAATAACAATGTTGTTGGTCTGACAACTTATCAAATATCGCTAGGCGACAGGGGGCATCAAATGACGGAAATACACACGAGCCAATTAGAGGGATGAGGTTAATGAATAAATGAATGAAATGCTTTGTATAACACATATAAGGATGTATTTTTACTTTGATTAAAAAGTTTAAAATGTTAAAATATATAATTGGTATATTTGTATACATTATACATGAAAAATTCGCTTGAAATAATAATATTGAATATATGATGTATTTAGAGCAAATTCTAATTCACTAAAGTTTTTACTAAAAATATAAATATATAAAAATTTATATAAAAAATATTTCATATAATTTTTGCTTAAATAATATTTTTACCCAAAACATTTGATATTTAATTTCGTATATAATTTCAAATTTAAAAAAACACGAATTTTAACTATTTTAATTACATGGTCACCTGTTCGCCCTGTTTTTCTTTTGTTTGCGGTTTCCGCAAATATTTTGCGTTTTTAACTTTATCATACGTTTGCAATTTTCTACTAATAAGCAACGACTGTTGAAATTTATGAACAAAAATGATTTAAAACTTTGGGAATAAAAACTTGGCTGGCGAAAATAATTTTACGCTATGTCGCGCCCATTGACTATGGCTGTGGAACCCAGTTCACCAGTGCAGAAAGTATGGAAACCGGAATGTAAGCAAGCAAAATATTTGCATCACTTATGCATATCCCTGACCACAGTTAATTTTCTGTTTCTTTGTTAGTGTATAAAATACAGCTGGAAGCGCCTACGCCCAAACCTTTACACCGCTCACGTCCCTTGCCCACGAACAACATAAAGAATGAAGACCATTGTTACGGCCCCGAATATCATGGTTTAATTGGGCATTTAGATGCCGAGCAGCTCTTGTCCAGTAAAACCGATGGCACATATTTGCTGCGCCGCAGTCCCAATGCAGAGGATTATTATACTTTAAGTGTACGTTTCAATAATCGTACAAAGCATTTTAAAATCTATTACAAACCGGGCAAAGGGCATTACTTGTTAGAACAGTCCAAACATTATGAAACCATACATGACTTGGTTGCTGACGGCTTGGTTAACTTTTACATGCAATTGCATGCTGCACCAATTATACAACAAATAAATCAGCAAACACGCAATTGTTTCCAACAAAGTCCGTATATGACATTAAATCGGCGTAAATTGCGTGCACTCTCTCATGAACTGGGCAAATCTATAGTGGGAGCGAAAGCGCAAAGTGAAGTGGTGACAGTGAATACAATAAGTAATGAATTAGTCAACGAAGTAAACAACATAAATACGTCATCGCTAAGCAACACAAGTATTAATACAGTTAAAGATGTGACTGATAACGCTGATGCGATACTGCCACTTGTCTATGAGAAGGCACACACCTTCAAGGTGCACAACTTCAAGGGACTCAATTGGTGTGAATTTTGCGCGAATTTTCTTTGGGGTTTCACTGCGCAGGGCATGAAATGTGAAGCTTGCGGTTTCATGGCACACTTCAAATGTGCTGAGTTGGTGCCGGCCAAATGTGTGCCGGATATGAAGCGTATACGTGGTGTGTTCGGCACCGATTTGACCACGGTGGTGCAACTTTACCAGAGCAGTGTACCATTCGTTGTGCGACGTTGTGTTGAAGAGGTGGAGGCACGTGGCATGTTGCAAGAGGGTATCTATCGTGTATCGGGTTTCGCCGATGAGATAGATGCGCTAAAGTTGGCATTGGATCGTGAAGGGGAAAAGACGGACATGTCAGAGGCGGCTTACGGCAATGTTAACGTGATAGCAGGCACGCTAAAACTCTATCTGCGTCTGTTGCCAGTGCCGCTTATCACATTCCAGGCGTATCCGTGCTTCATGCAAGCAGCGAGTAATGAAAAATAATTAATTCAATTTTTGTTCCGTTATTTACATTTGCTTTCCACTTTCAGGAAGTACTAATGCTGCTGAACAATTAATAAATATGACTGAAGCGGCAAAATGTTTGCCGCCAGCGCATTACAATTGCCTGAAATTTATGGCGGAACATTTGAAGAGGTAACCCAACTGCAGTAGTCAATAAAATATACCAGTAAATGTAAAGGTTCTTAATTATCTAGAGTTGCTTCCCATTACGCTGCCAACAAAATGAATGAACACAACTTAGCCACAGTATTTGCGCCGACACTAATCGCTACGCCGCAACATATGACCAATTTGACGGAGGAGATTTTCATGTTATCCACATTAATTGCGAACTGCGAGAACATTTTCCATTAGTTGTACAACTTACACACAACTTTAATCTAGATTTAATAGCAGCGTGCATGGAAATTATGGGCGTTATGTAACCAGTGGCTCAAAGCAAGCGTACGCTCAAACCGTTTTTTTTTATTGTTAGGCGAGAGATGAGGAATTGATGTTTCTGGCTTATTTATGTGTTCTTTGGAGTGAATGTCGGAAACTACGAATTTATATGTATATGTATGTCTGTAATAATGAGAAAAAATTAGTTGTCGAATATTTAAAACAAATTTTACACATTCTTAAATTTCATACAGCTTTTTTATATGTAAAACCAAAGTAGTAGTAGTAAAAATAATAGTAATAAAGAGAACATACTCTTATGATATGCATTTAAAACACTTTCTTTGATCATTTCAAAATAGGGTGGAAAATTGCAATCACGTATGTGTGATTGCTTTCAACACTACAGCACTTTTACTATTTGATATAATATACACTGAACTTGTCTTTTAAACATTTTATACATTTCCAAAGCTATTGTAAATTGAGTATATCAAAAGTGGTGGCGAAAAGCAGAACACTTAACATAAACATTAAAGGCAGATAATACACCATATGCAGCAATCTTCGCTCATGGGCCGGGTTCAGGCGAAAAATTCGTGTTTTAAATTATACAAGTATTGTTTATTTCTTTTATAGGAAATATGGCGTGGTATTCTGTTGTGGTATTACACGCTCTGTTTCGGGCACTGCATTAAAAATACTGGTTGTGCGATCTTTGGCTGTTTTGAAATTCAAAATTGCCGCTACATTACCGCAGCGATAGCAATAGTTTGGCGCTGACCATACAGTTACGAGTTTACTATCAAACATGTATTTAATACCTTCATTGACCAGCTGATGTGCCCGACAAATTAATTCTAAATTGTTAATGTTCATAAAATCTTTTGTTACCAATTGGCCGAAAAGCCAACCGGCGCCCCGCGGGCTTTGACCCCTAAAAGAAATAAAATTATTAAAATAACTTTTTTTATTTTTGAAATGAAAACTTACCATAAATCCATGTCTTCCGGATCCGACCACACCAAATCACAAAAGGCACCTTTGTATGGTATTTCGCCATTGCGATCTATAGTACGTATTTGATCGAGTGTGATGATTTCTGGACTGAGACCACCATGCACGCATAGCACCTCTTCGTCAATAATCTGGAAAACGTAAGTTGGCGCACGTTACAAACTTATAAGCACATCAAAAGTACATATATACAAAGATAAGAAACTAACCGCCGCAATCGTCAGTAAATCGAACACTTTACAGCAATATTTCCATGCATTTGCGTTTCCATACTTTGTAAAGCACTCATCGAAAAAGCCATAAACTTTAGTTATTTGTCGTGATTCATGATTGCCGCGCAGCAGCGTAATACGATCTGGATAACGAGCCTAAAAGATATTGAACAAACTATTATGAGATCTCAACTGCTTGCACACTAACTCACTTTCAGCGTCAGCAGACGTGTCAATGTTTCCAGACTATAATAGCCGCGGTCAACAAAATCGCCCATGAAAATATAATTGGTATCTGGTATTTGTCCGCCTGTGCGAAAGAGTTCTTCTAAATCGTAGAATTGTCCATGTATATCGCCACACACTGTTACAGGCGTGCTAACTGGCTGTATATTGGATTCCTCCAGTAAAATCTCACACACAATATCACATAGCTTCTTCAGGTCATTCTCTGGCAAATATTTGCATTCCTTCACTATTTCTATCCACTTATCGAGATCGGCCATTGTGTTTACTAATGTATGTGCTTGCAGGCTGCTGTGTGGTGTTTAGAAATCTTATTAAATTTTTTTGTATAAAAAATACGCAAAAACTAACAAGATAATTTTTAGCGAAATTTGCTTCCACAGGCTAATTTTGTTGTTGTTGCATTTGTTAATGACAGCTACCATATTTTCATTCACAAATGAAATCAATATGACACATGAACTGCTGCTTCTTCATTGAAGCTCATTCACAATAAGCTGTAAAGAAAAAAATGTTTTGCAGCGAAAAGTTTAATACAAGAATATTTATTTCCTTTGAAAACATAAACGAGTTTATAAAAAAGATGTAAAATTAAAATTCATATTTGAATATATATGCATATACTTAATTTTTGAATTATAAAATTTACCCTAAGTTTCGTAAGAAACTCTGTTGTTTTCCACTAATTTTGCTAAGACTTTACCGAAACCATTATTATTATTTCTTCAATTCTTTAACCATTGGGTCTGTTGAAATAATTCTTCAAAAATCATAATATTATCTTTTTTCAAATTCAAGAGACTTTTCTGATGAAGAAAAATAATAGACAAATAATGAAACTATCGCCTTTTGCGATTATGTAGACGTCTTCCTTCTATTCTAATTGGCATATACACCGCCTATATGACTATAGTCCCCTTTTATTTTATGTTAAGCATAAAATGGAAATATAAAGTTAAGTATAGATACTGCTGCGAAAACTGTAAAAACTGGGGTGCGCTCGCCCTTTTCTTTTTAAAAATTCAATAATAGCTAATAATTATAATCAAATAAAAGTATAGAGATAACCTTAAGCACAAATATTTTTTTCAATGCAGCTTTGGTACATATGTACGCGCGAATATGCGTAAGTGGTGAAATTCATGTTAAATCAGGAGTTGATAGGTCATTTATTACTGATAAGGAAATCAGGCAATTTTAAAAGGGAAATACAATGAAAGGGCAAATGCGGATGAAACCAAATTAAATGATCATTACCAAAATTAAGTTGAATAACCGTTATCACGTTTTGTTCCACTGATACATTTCTTAAAATTACTTTCTTATATTGTCACACGTGCATTGCTCCACGAGAATGCTGAATAAGTCTCAATTAAACTTGCAGATAATTTCTTCTTTCAAGCCAGCCTGGCAAACGACTACAGCGAAGCGGAAACTAAGTAAGGAATGCAGGCCATTTAGACTCCACTTAATGAAACGTTCACCAATATACATATGTATGAATGTGAATTATGCCATAAATGCACACCAGCATTTCCAACATCACGCCATTTGGGGTATAAAGTTTAAAAAACTTTAAAAATAAAAACAAAAATCTTCTAAAATTTTCTTTGTCAAATCGTGTGGATTTAATAGTTTTATTGTTATTATAAAAACAATTAAATATCACACATACAATTGTGATGGAGTGTCAATAAAATTGTTTATTGTGTTTGGGTTGGTGCTGATAATGATGACTGGCAAAAATTTCTGAAAAACAAGGTGCTTACTTAAATTAATTACACGCGTGTACATATGTACATGCAAACACTGTTTCATATATTTAGACATTTTGATAAGCGCCTAATAAAAAAAATATTATTTACAAAGTGAATGTATGGCCCGGGAGGTCTGACTGTAGACAGAGCTTATAAGTAAAAGCAATATATGTACAGATGTACAGATGTATATGTTAATGTGCATTTATGGCGAATGTATGATGGATTTTTTTTATTTTTCAAATCTATTTCAATCTTTGTGTTTATTCTAATAGCAAATTGTGAGATAAGTACCTTTTTTGTATGTACATGCCCTTAGCGCATTCACGCATATTTTTCCTATCGGGTCACTTTATCAGCTGAACGTTATTATTGTATTTTGAAGTTTTAACTGCTCATATAAATCAAGAATGCAACAAACCAGTATTTTTTTTGTAGTCCAAAAAAAACCCTTTTTCCACTGAATATACAGTAGGCAGCATAAGTCTACGTACTATGCATATTTGTGCCGTTTGAAAAACGGTGAATAAAGTCTAGCCACAGTGCACGCCCGGCCAGTATATTATCCAAAAAATAGTGTTTGTATAACTCTTCTCCGCTTGCGTACCAATTGTTTCTTCCAACTATTTTCAGAAAGAAATTAATAGAATTTTAGAACTTGTGATTTCATCTATGAATCTTAAATAAAGTTAGGTTAGGTTGTCTTCCTGGAGAGTTAACGATAACACGTCTATGTTGAATAGGCTGTGTAATGATTAACTTTTTGTATTTTTTGTATCTCTAATTTGCAAGGGAATCGATTATGAATTACCCACTTTTAGTGTAATTGTCTCACGAAAATTTGTATTCGGCATGTATTTAGAGGGTGAATTAAATAATTCGGTATGTATTTAGAGTGCGAATAACGATTGAGAGAGCGAAACACGTAATTGCGCTGTCGTGAAATGCTGTATTAGTATGTGGCTGTGGCAGTGACATCTGTTCTGTTTGCAAACAAACAAACAGCTGATCAAATATGAAGGAAAGTGACGCATATTTATATTCATGAGCTTGAGTAAAGGTTTTAAGAAGACTCTGCTAAGAGAAATTTACTTTACTTAAGTTTAGCTGATTTACGTTGTTCCTTTCTTCCTCTTCGCAGCACTGTCACCGTTTATCTAATATTAAATAAGCACTTAAAAGGAGGTCGAGAAATGAAAACGAATTTATCATACCGTTAAATTTAACTGCCTGATTCGTGATTCTCACATTGATAGGCACTCGAAAACCCGATCCTTAGAGATGTTACTCATTTAAACAGTTGATCAATACGACTACACGACTTGCTTCTTTTCACATTGTATACCACTTCTGATTTTCCTGCTGCTTTTCGCGTGGTGCTGCCAACTGAAAAACAAAGAAAAGTGAAAATATTTTAATAAATCCGATGAAACAAATGTACATACATACAAATATAGGTATACAATTTTTTTTATAAAATATTCCAATGTTAGAAATGCTAAATTTTCTACCTCAGCAACAGCAGCCAGAACCATAAACCACTCTTTGCAAATTTATTTCACACCCAATGGAAGCGAAGAGAGATTAACGTCATAATATAATAATATTTATTTTTGACGCTATGTTATCGCTAAACGATAATAATATCTTTCCAAAAAAAAAAATTGTTATTTCGACTAAAGATCTTGCACAATAATTTTATTCTTACGCCTGATAAAAGACAAAGTGTGGTCATAAATAGCAAATATTGGCGTACAAACATATAAACTACAACACACAACGTTAAGCAAATAGAAATTTCTCTAAACACTTAATTGCTTATCTAAGCCTTGGTGTATGGCTAAATTAATTATTTCTTATATAACTGCGTCAAAATAATGATAAGCAAAGCAGACTTTTTAAAATTAAAATTAAATAACAATAAGTGGGTTTTTCGGGGTTTTTGGGTATTGGGGTGTGTATTTGTATATGAATTTGCGTTCAGATATTCAAACATTTGGAGTTTTTGTCATAAAAGATAGTTTTGCTTTGATAACGCTATAAATACTTTGTTGACATTGTAAGATTTAGCTTTTCCGATTACATATTTACTAAATCTTTTCACTAAATCTGAAACGTCGCCCTTGGATTTTTTTCTTTGACATTTTATTTTGAAGTTTTGAAATGTAATTAAGTGTTGCCATACCGCACAAATCGCATTTGGAAATCAATACTGCTGTTACGATTTTACTAAATCAACCTTGATGATTTCCTAAATCCTTCGGGTACGATCTCTGGATTGTTAAATAAAACTCGCCAATTTAATTTGCAGTTTCTTTCGTTATAAAGATTCTATCTAATGTCCTTTATTTACTCAGTGATTCACAATTCAATTACAAGACACTTTACTAGCTACAATCACTTGCATCAACTTTCACAATTTACTCTACTTAAATGTAATTCCCAACGCGTTCACTTTACGACTTCACTGATGTTAACGCCAACCAGTTCGCTTTGTCACTAACTTGACTTGCAGCTGAGTGTCGCCTTTATATAGCAGTCGGCTGCTCGCAGACGAAAGCGTAGAAGCATCGAATTGTTCGCTATGGAAGGTTCTTGTTTTATCGTTTCTAGAACGTACTAGTTATCGGCTTTTCTCTTTCATCTGACATTCGCCTCGCATTTTCGCAACACTACTTTCGTGCCAGAAAATATTTAATCGAAATCTGCTGATGCGAAAGTCGGACGAAAGTAATTGATGGAAGAAAGTTATCGTTTCCACACAATTACATATTGATTGAATAATCTTTTGATATAATAGTTGATGTCCACTTCCTTTCTTAGTTTTATTATTCAACTTATTCACTGGCGTAGTCACCGCTTACGCGATTATAGCTGAGTTAACAACAAACCTTTCTTTCGAGATTGTTAATATCGGCCAGAGAACTTAGAATAACGAGAAGTTTCGATCATTAAATCAATTAAAGAGAAGGAGCGGTGCGGTCCGATTATCGTTTGTTCCATCTACGGGATTGCTAAGAGACTATTTCACCTCTATACGATATTAGTAAGAGACTATTTCACGCCTAGTCAAGAGCGAACTACCAGAGACTGACTAATTATTTACAAAGATTAATATTTGAAAGGCAATTATTTAATTAATTTATTATTGTATTATCTTGCTCAGAAATGTTGACAAATAGCTTCAATTTTTGGCGGCAGTGGTGAAATAGTCTCTTATTTCTGACAGTTCACCCGCTGTCTGCAATCGGTCCTTGTCATTATTTGACGTTCTCTGGTTCAATTGCGGACTAGCGTGGAGACTGTCAAAAACGAAGTCGGGTTATGACAGCGTATTTCACCACCGGCACTTGAAATTAACATCATTCGTCTGTGGTGCCTAACATTTTGAACGCCACTGACAAAAATTCAATCATCGTCTGTAGAAATGAAGCAAAAAGTTTCTATTAAATTTTATATTTTTTTCGAATGACTAAACATAATTTAAATGAAAAAATCATGTTTAATAAAAATGAGACTTTTTTTTCTAAACATTTGTTTGACATTCATTTATAATCCTTTTTGTAATACCAAAGAAAATGTTCACTCTATCGAGAGCGCGACTTGCTGTTGTCGCAGAAGACATGAATTCGTTCCATTACCAATTTTTGGCACTTTGGTTTATAGGCGAGCCGTTTGCGGGGAGTTGTGTTATGCTAGCGCAGCTCGTTTAGTACACGGTGGGCCAGCGTTTTTTGCCATTAAAATAGTGTTGTCATGATGATGGTGGTATTTTTTTTTTTTGCCAGATGTGTACATTTCTGCTTTTTTTTAATACATTTATATGTACTATGTACGTATGAATGTAAGAATGCACAATATGTATTTACTTACATACATACATACATATTTCAAATTTACGCCATAAGTAAATAATATTTAAAATAGTTTAATTACATATCTAAAATATCATGACTACCATTAATTTTATCTATAAAAAATTATTAGTAAAAATGTGACATGTGTATGTATGTATAAAAATTTATAACAAAGGCTGATAATAACCATCTGCATGCTAACATTTACACTGCAAAGGCTTTGTCAATTTTATATTTATTTTACATGTATTTTCTCATTTTACATACAACCTAGCTCATTCTGCTATTTTAAGCACGATTTCTGTCTGCTCACTGTTAAAGTGCGGTGAAATACACTTTCAGATTTTCGTGTTGAAATACGTTTTCATAAAACGAGTCAGCGAACCAATTTGACCATCGGCTCTCCCTGGTGCTTCTGGTTATTCCCAGTGCTCTGTATCGACTCATCAGATGTCATCAAACAGCAGGATGGGAATGATGAGTGACGAGAGGACTACTCATGAGTATTTTCCCAGATTTGGCACTTGGGGAATATTTGGTGTATGGTGTATATGCCCGATCTAAAGTCACACTGATAAGGTTCAAACGGTTTGTTGACGTTGGGTTTTAGTCTTTCACACAATACGTGCAATGGGATCTTATATGCGATATCCATGTGGCTTATGCCACTATAATTGACGCAGACTGTAGGCTCCATACGTACTTCTTTAAAGTCGGACAATCAAACACCTGTACCATCGATTGGGGGAATTTGGCTTCGCCAGCTCTTGCTGTACCATTTTCACTTTGGGTTCTACAAAAGTTATTTTTTTTTCCTCTATCGTATTTAACTTTAACTCCTATCTTGTACTGAAACATATGGTTAAGCAAAACTTATTAGGTATGCATGGCAAATTACGTAGTTTGGTAAACGATTACAACGTTAATTAGGAAGCGAACAACGCAATTCGTCTGTCGTGGCATTACACTTTAAGTTATCGATAACCAACGAAACCTCATTTGACTAACGAAACGAATGAAATTTGAAAAACAAACCTATCGGTATGTCAAATTTAACGGTGAGCTCATAACGGCTCAGACGTAGGTGATCGATTTTCTTTAATCTAAATAAATTATCTTACAAATTAATGTAGAAATATATATGGTACATACATATACATACGTACCTACATACCATTTATATCAGCTTGCCCGTATGTATTATATGTACCTAGGCAAACATAAGCATGAATGTGTATGTATATATGTATTTGCATACATATGCACATATATAGAAATTGATATGCATACTAACTAATTATTATTATTATCAGCACAAATAATTGCGTCCATAGAAAAAACTTATTTATATTTCTAACGACAAAAACAAAGTAATAAATCGCAATAGCAATCAATTTCAATGGGATTTCGCACTTAAAAAAAATTCTTTGGCAGTGAGGGAGAGTAGGAAAATTAATCGGTAAGACTTTAATTTTTTTATCATCGCAACAAACTAATTTTGAAGGCATTGCGGCTGATGCCATGAGGTCTGAATTTGGGTAAACCTGGCTGGCTGTTGACACTGGTTGTCATGATTCGCCGTCGAATGCCACAAATATTTTATATATGTGAATACATACATATGTACAATGTATATAATTTCTATTAATAAAAAAAGGAATGTCACTACTGTGTCTTGAACCCCGCTTTTTACCCTCTCGAATAAATGAAAAACGTAATTTATTTACAATCTCAAGATTGCAAAATTACAAACATAGCTACATACACACATGCACATGCATATATGTACATATGTATGTATTTATTATTGGCGCTTAAGACAAGTGTACATACTCGTACATACATATATATACAGCTTATATCACTGATCGTCGGAAATATGAACCAAGCGAGAGGCCTCATTCAATGTGAACAGATTAGAACTTGCAGTCGTGTTGTTATCGTCGGAGTGAACGCTTGAGAGCGGTTAAAAGCGAACGTCGCAATCAGAAATTTTAATTATCAACTCTAACCGTAGACAATACTATGCTGACTTTGTTCAGCTCGCATAGAAGACGAATTGAATATGTGTGCAAGATAATTTCTATTAAAATTTAACGCTCGCTCTCAGCGTCTACGCTCCGTCAATAAAACGCAGCGCGTACTCGTTTAGTTAACTAATAGGCTATCAATACTGGAACTTCCACATTTAAAAGCAGTCCGTGGAGTAAGATGTACACGCGAGCGGCAATGATGACTAGATACGAAACTCTTTATTCCGTGAGAGCGCTCAAAAATCCGCATTTTTTATAACATTTCTGAACAGTGCCACTGTGATGGAAAAATGACTTTTTTGGATTTTTAGGTATATTTTGGGTATTTTATTACAAACAACGGCGTCTTTAATTGCAATTCCACTAAAATATTTTATTAAGAAACAATTCAATATTTAATTATATTAAGTTTTCATAATAAAATTACAATAATTTCTTTAATATTTACTGCTGAAGCAAATTTCTTTTGAAACAAAAATAATGGATTTTTTTATTGACATAGTGGCACTGGTGCGTTTTGCACATCAGATGTTGAATGTTCCCCGATCTGACACTGCTGCCAACATTAGAATGTGAGATGGGGGAACGCTCTCAGCTGCAATTTGAGTGATTTTGAGTAAGTTTCGTATCTAGTCATCTTTGCGAGCGGCAGTGAGAAATTAATCAAAATTAAAGTGTAGTGTGAAACGTAAAAATAAAGGTTAATACATTTAATACTACAACAATTAGAAAAATTAATAATTTACAAAAAAAAACACATCAAACATTTTATAAATTTAATTTACTTGAAATTAAATTCAATTACACAACTAAAAAAAATTACACATATACATATGAGTAAAATGGAAGTCTACACATCGGACAGCAGCGACACAGACTCACGCGAGCAAAAGACACTGGATTATGGCCGTATGAACCTCACCGAAATCACGCTCGAGGATGATTTACATGCCAAGAAAGCGCTAAAAACACACAAGGATTTCGAGACTTTATTATTGAATCATAATCGCCTAAGACTACTACCCTCAGCTCTCATTAAATTCACAAACTTAAAAGTATTGGATTTGAGCTCGAATTGTTTGACACAATTGCCGGAGGCTATTTGCAATTTATCCTTAGTCACATTGATAGCTAAAAATAATAATTTAACAAATAAATCGTTGCCGAAAACTTTTGTGATGCGCAATTCCGTCCTGAAGGAGCTAAACTTAAGTGGCAATCAGTTGACACATTTTCCCGAACAGGTGGTGGAATTGAAGCAGTTGCGTTATTTCTATGCGGGCGCAAATAAAATCAATGCGATTTCAAAGGATATATGGAAAATGCAAAGGTGAGTTTTTTTTCGTGTTGTGGTATGTGAAATGTGATTTGGTTGCGTGTTGCGGTTGGAAAATTCTAAGCCAGGGTTGCGCGTGAGACAGGTGTTCATTTATGTTGGTATGTTATGTTTTAGAGGTTGTTCTGCACATAAAAACTAACACTTATAAGATTTGAAATCGGTGGAAATCTTTATGGGTATCAATAGAAATGACTTTTCTTGAGTGACAGAGTTAATGAACACTGTTACACTATTACAGAAACTTTTAAGTGTAGCACTTAGTGATTACTCGATTTGTGTATAAATTTTTATTATTATGCTTTTTTATCAAGCTCATCAATCACTGAACTTTGCACTAAATTTCTTTAACATTTCATAGAATGTTTAAGTCGACGTCTGTTACTATTTAAAATGTCATTGAATGCCTTTAAGTTGTTTAAATGGCGTTGATGTACTGACATGCATACATAAATACAACTTTTGTCATATCAGTTATTTTTTTCACAAAATTTGAACGCTAAATGCCGTCACTGACCCTTTAGGCCGAAGCTTATCAGCAAAAAAACAAAATAAATAGGTACATATGTACGTACTACGTACTTATGTGTTGTACATTGAATTCAATTATTCAAACTCATTTGCAATTGTATGAGAAATGAAAACATGAGTGTCTTTTTATATGCATACTTGCATACATAAGTGATAATCTATCGCACTACACAATATTTTGCACTTTTAAGCGCAAAAAAAAATTAAATTTCAATTCAATTTCAATTTTTAGAACTTCAGAGCACATTAAATAGTGTATTACCTACTACATACATATATTTGCAGCGCAAACATTTGTCCAAACTGAGCGGCAAACTCGCGGCCGTCATGCTCTGGTTCTTAACTATTTACACGTATCACAATTTCAACGTAAATTGTGCGCTCTTCATTGCGCGCACTTCACTGCACACATGTACATACACACACATAAATATCTAAATATTGGCAATAATTGATAATAAACAACATTTACACATTTTTTATGCCCATAAATTAAATTGTAAATGCAACTGACACTTTATTACTTGATAAACACAACAGCCAACGATTCCGATATGCGATAAAAATCGATAACCTATTAGTGTTGAAGTGCCGTTGGCGATAACTAATGCAGAGAAATGTGATCAAAATATATTGTCATAAGCTTACTAAGATCGAAAAATGACGGCCTTCAGCTGTCAGGAATTCTTTTTATAAAATAAATTATATATAATTTATGTTAATATGTATGTGTGTGCTTGATGCTCTCATTGTTAAGCAAAATAACTTTACACTATATGCATACATACCTTACAGCTTTATGTGTTTCAAGTTCATATCAAGGGCTTTTCAGATAGTGATTACATATTTATGCACTATATATGTATGTATAATTTTATTTATGATAATTTGTTCTTTTTTCTGGTTTGACACATTTATCTGTCTCAAACTATCGTTCACAGTTACAATGTTTTGCATTATCTTAAGTGCGTATTTGCCTAGGAATTAAATAATTTCACTTTTATTAATTATAATATTGCCATTAATTATGTTATTTGTAGTTAACTCGACAGACCGTCTTTGTCTGGCTATAAAATGATAACAGCTAAGTAATCAGAAAAAAAAAAACAAATACAAATTTATAGAGAATACGCATAATAAATTCATAAATAACATTAATTTTATATATGATACATATGTATATACTCGTATATATAGGCGATAGTCGTTGATTTTCAATTGTGTTAGGGCACGTTTTACCGTTATGTGCGTTTAATAGTTGGGAAGCTAGACATTTGAACAGCTGCGCACAGGCGACTGCTGCGCTAATGAATATTATTTTTAAAATTGTTTTTTTATTTCATTTCTATGCGGAAGTTTGCCAAAATAGTTGGTTTCATTATACCTTTATTGATAAGGTGTCTGCCATAAAATAGAATGTTGATAACTCGCTTTTAAGTGCTTGCGTACCTTGTTTAGTTACTAACGAGAGGCATGTGCTACGTGGCGAGTTACATACACACATATAGGCGAATAGCAACACTGTTTGACAGTTGTCAAATTATCCTTGCTTCATATGAAATGCAATTTGTATTAAATGATTTTGCAGCGAAGTGACTTTTTACTAAATTTAATTCTGATATGTTTCTTTTACATGAACAACTTTCCAATCATAAAAAAAAACAAATTATCTAACCTCAAACTCACGAAAATGCTGTTAATTTTTTACACCGAATTTTAAAATATTTAGGTTATGCTCGCTTTTGTTAAAAATTGTTTTTAATTGATTCACTTAATTTTTCCAATTTGCAGCTTACAAGTACTCTCGTTGGGCGGCAATCTCATCACCGATGTGCCGGAAGCCGTGGGCAGACTCAGCCAATTGCAAGCACTTGTGCTATGTGATAACCTCATTGAGAACTTACCAACCAGCATAGCTCATTTGGACAGTTTAAAATCATTGTTATTGCACAAAAATCGACTCAGACATCTGCCCAAAGATATAATCGCTTTGAAGAATTTAACAGAGGTTTGTACTTACTTAGCTGACGCATAATCTAATGCTAATTTTTACACACACGCCCCGCTCTCTTTTTGCTTACAGTTAAGTTTGCGTGATAACCCATTGGTTGTGCGTTTCGTACAGGACATTGCCTTGAAGCCGCCGACACTGATGGAAGTCGCCGCACGTGTTGTCAAGTGCACTGGCATACCGTATGGCCCAGGCATTGTGCCACGCACCGTCAGCGATTATCTGCAGAGCGCCAATTGTTGTGTGAATCCCAAGTGCAAAGGTGTCTTCTTCGATAATCGCGTTGAGCATATTAAATTCGTGGACTTTTGTGGTAAATATCGCGTACCACTTTTGCAATATTTATGCTCTTCTAAATGCATTGAACCGGAGCCGGAGCGTCCACAGACCAGCGGCAGTGCCAGCGGTTATATGATGCGGAAAGTGTTGCTTGGTTGATTGGTGTTTGATGGAGCGTAGCTGGTGGCGCAGCGTGCAGCGCTTTGGACTGGTTTTTTTTTTTAGTAGAACAATTTCTTGTTGTTGTTTTTCAAATGAATTAAGCAGAAAAATGACCATTATACTGTTTTGAGAATTCAATTATTTAGTAATTGGAAAATGTGTACTAAATTTTTGGAATATTCTGCTGTTGGTAGGCATTTTTTTGTTTTAAAATATTCTTTCACTTGAATGCCATGAGATTCGCGCTCGTCAAAATAAGCAAGTCTGTGAGAAATAAATAAAATTTTATAATGCTGAGCATTTTATACATATGTACATATATAATACTAACACACTTTTATATATTCCAAGACAAAACAAAAAAGAATAAACATATTTGCAAATTTGTATGTATCTACATATATTCATAAAAGATAAAAAAATAAAAGTTTGCATTGATTGCACAGAACTGAACACTATTTTCGCCGACAATTTTCCGTTAGAAATTAATTGAGCGATTGTCAAACGCAGAAACTATCGCCAGTTACTTTGAAGTTATCGATAGTTGTGATGATTAGGCATTTTTATTAATGTAAACAAACGAAATAAATGAAGGATGAAATAAATTTAATTTATGCAATTTTTTTTGCACGTGAAACGTTTTTCGTGTGAAATGTGTTTGGAATGAGTGAGCTATTGATTGTAAAAAGTAAATAGAATAAGCACAAGAGCGTAAGCCTAAATATGAATGAACTTGAGCCAGCTGCTGGAACTTCTAACAGAGATTTCTAGTGTATGCCCTGCCTAGCAAGAGACCTCCTGCAGTAAACTTGAGTTTATAGAAATAAAAAGAGCTGCTGATATAAGTGAAGAAATGAAATACCAGCAAATAAAACCAACTCTGTTGCTCCACCTCAAATCTGAATTGATACATATATTGTATGTACATACATAATTGCTAATTCACAAGTCTGCCTGAGCCTAACCTCATTTTAATTTAATAAAGTAGAAAAAAAAAGAAATGAAACACACGAAACTGTTTTTTGTTTGCATATTTATTATTTTTTTACATATCTTCTCACCACCCTCTCTTACTCAATTCATTTAATTTCATTACAGTTGCGTTCGATTTACTGTTGTTTTGCTTTTTGTCTTTTTTACTTTAAACTTAAGTGTTATATTTTTTCACTTAAATTTATTAAAGTTTGAAGATTTGTGTCTCTTAATTATATTTTTATGTTCATTTTATATGATTTTATTACTATTTTGTTTTAGTAATAATATTAATGAATATCGAAATTATACATACATACATATTTTTATTATTTGTAAATGTGTATTTTTTTTACTATTAAACGCTTTTGCTATTTCATTTTATTAATATAATTCAATTTATTTTATTTTACTGAATTATTTAACTAATAATATGCCACATTTTAATGTTTTTTTGCAGCCGCTAATAGTTAATAATAATAATTTTTTTTTTTAGAAATTTTACTTTTTATATGAAGTTTTGTTTTGTAGTTTTGCTTTAATAATTTTACAGCTTTTCCAATTTTTGCATATTATTCATATGCATAATATTTATAAGTTTTAGTATATTATGTATGGTTGCTGTATGATAATCACTTTAAATAGTTTATTTTTTTTATTTATGTAAGTTATAAATATATATTTTTATTATAAATTTACTTTTTCTATGCTGTTCTAAGTTTTTTTTTCTGCTTTTGTTCTTGTTTTACGCCTGTTCTTGTGCTATTGGTGTTACAATTTTCAATTTTGAAAAATTTTAATATATTTTTGAAGTTTTTACTGACATTTATTTACTTGAGTGTTTTTTTTTTTTGTTTTTTTCTTCTTTTTTTGCAAAATGCGACATTGTTGCGCCATAAATATTTACGATAAAGTAAATAAGTTTCGGTATTTACCGTTTAATTGTAACAGCTTTTTAAGATAACTTTTTCCATTGTATTGCTATTTTTTTTTTTTACAAAAAGCAATGATTAAGCTTTGATTGGTTGGAAATTATTTGTTATAAAAGCAAAAGTTTCGAAATATTAGTAATTAATTAAAAAAGAATTTCAAATATAATATTTTTCTTGGCGACCTGTGCTAATAATCTTACGGATGAGGTGTTTGGCAAGGAACTGTGGCCGATTGTTTGAATTTTTTCTGAGTTATTTGTAATGGATGGATCACACAAATGCATATCAAATTCTAATTTGTAATATTTTCAACTGAAACATAGATTTTTTAACAAAAAATTGTATACAGTAAAAAAATAGTTTTAATATTGTTATATAATAGAAAAAAAAAAAAAATGTTCGACGCCATGACATTAAAAAATCGATAAAAAGAACTCGTTTAGTAAAAATCGAAGCAGATAAATTTAAGCAAATTAAAATATTTTTTAGAAAATTTTCTAACATTCTAGAACGGGAAAAACCAACATTATTTAGATCCAAGTGGTACAAACATTTTTTTTTTAATTTTCCCTGCTAACTGCTTAAAAAAATTAATATTTATGCACTTACAATTGTTTATATATTAAAGTGATGCAACAATTAAGGAAGTTTCTGTTTCTTGTTTAGCATTTTATTAACTTTTATATAGTGCTTAAATGTTATTTTAAAATTATTATTTATTTATTTATTTTTTTAAATTAATTCATTAATTCATAAATATTTTTAAAGTATCAACAAATTTTTTTAAACGAAACAAACTGTTTTAAACGCATTGCAGTTGAGTATTTGTGCCTTGAAAATCTAACGCGATTTCTGCTTTAAGATTTTTCATTTGGATTTTGTTTTTACAAAACATTTTTTTTTTAGCTTTTTAACGAATATTTAGAATTATTTTGGAACTTTCTTTTATTAAATATAATTATATACATATGTATATGTATCGTCATAATGTTATTAAGCAACGGTATTCGTATTTTCCATTTAGTTAATAGCCTTTAGTTTTTATTTGAGTTTAAAAAAAAAATATTTTATATATTTTGAAACTTGAAATGATGGCGAAAAAACACGTTGGCACAAAATTCTCACACAAAGAGAGCATTTCGTCAGTTATCGATTATCGATTACATCAAGTTTGCCGAATATTATGCCGTGGTGACATTTTATGGGAAATCTAATTTCAATAGAATGGAAATTGTTTTTTTTCTTGAACTCATTCTCACATTCTCAACTTCTTTCGCACAAAATGTAAATTATTGAAATTTGTTGAAACACAAAGTTATTCATTTTGATATTTACACTAAAGAAGATTATTAAATATCCATAGATATCCGAATTATTTTCTATTTTTCAATGAAAAAAGAATAAGGACACATAATTGTATACAGTTATTTAAAAAAAAATTACTTCAAACTGGAAAACATTGTCTACATTCAGGCGCCAATCCAAAGGATTTGTTAGCATGAGAGAAGAAATCGGTTGTAAAATATTTTTTTTCCATGCGAAAAGTTAAGCTTTTTTTTTCAAAATATCGCCTACATTTACAAAAATTCATATTGAGATATTTTAGCGTCACTGTGAAATAATTTGAAAATTAATTTTACATCCTTTACCGAGATTGCACAAATTTTAATGTTTAACTATGTGAAAAATTTAATGCCTACATTTAGGCGCACCATACTATTTCAAACGCTTAAGAAATCAACGAAATCATATATAATCGCAATTCAAGTCACTACGTTGTCAGCACAACGAAAATTGTAATATTAAAGTTTTCTTAAAAAACTTATGGCCTACCTTAAGGCGCCCCATGATTTTTTTGATGTATTGCATTAAAAGAAACATAACGAGGTTTATTAATATTTCTTAATTAGATTTATTTATTCATTTATTTTAATATTTTTCTGGTTGTTGTTGCATTTTGTTTTATTCAATTGTATTTAGAAATAAAATTAAACATGACCGCCGCTTGGCTGCTCTGCTACACTTCTTCTACCAACTTTGACTTAACAACTTAAATGATGTGTGTGTGTATGTGTTTGTTGCACTTTAGTTTTTTTTTTGTTTTTTTTTTCACATACACATGTAGCGTGGCATACATACATAGTTTACATATCATAAATAATAATAATAGTAATATAATAATCATAGTAATAATATGTAGTTTGTAATAATAATTAATATTTATTATTTTTTAATAATCATAATAAAAACGACAAAATTAAATTAATATTATTTTTATTTAATTAATAATTAATTGTAGTTAAATTGCATTTATTTATTGTATGTATTTGTATATTTTAAGTATAAAGAACGATGACATACATACATATATAGACATTGTATTTTACATACATACAGACAAGTGTGTGTATGTGTGTGTGTGTGTAGCGTAAAAATTGAAAAAATTACGAAGAAAAAACTTAGCGCGCCGTGAAAATTCTTTTTTGCCTTTTTATTTCATTTATATTTTTTTTCTTCAATTTTTAGTGTTTATTTTCCTGTTTTTTTTTTCAATTTTCGTTTTGCTTAGTTATCAATTATATTTAGTTCGCTTCTTTTATTAGTTCTATTATGCTGTTTGTGTGTTGTTGGAGTATACGAGAATCTGCAGCAAAATGCGCTTGCGTTTCAATAAATCAATATTTAGCAAATTATCGCATATTTAATATTTAATTATTTTTTCTTCTTCTTATTCTTCTCGGCATACGGTTTATTTTACATGCTTTTTATGTACAAAAGCACAGCTTGTTGTTGTGTGTGTGTGAGGTTATGTTTTCTTTAATCTTTTTAATTTTCCTGCTACGGGTCAATGAATTAAGTAAAAAAAAAACAAAAAAAAAAATTATTTAAAAGTAAAATGCATTACATACATACGTGTATGTATATGTTTTAGTGGAAAATAAAAATCGTAGAAGCACAAAATGTTTGCGGGTGCAAAAATAAATTTGGCAGCTGAATGTGTGAATGTGTCCGGTGTGCTATTTTTTGCCTGTAGCGTAGTGGCATTGCCAACACGCTTGCTTTTGCTAGCGTTTCTTACTACCTTTTTAAAAGCGCATTTGATTGATTGCATTGTGTGGTTTACATTTTTTCGCTTTGCTTTTTTTTTGTTATATGTATTTTTGTTTTTAACTTTTGCTTATGATTTAAACTATTTACTTTTATAATAATTTTATTTTAATGTTTAAGTTTTTTTTTCAGGTTATGTACGTCTAATTTTCAGCTAATAAATAATTAGTTTTTTTTTTGCTTATTTAATGTCATTGCAAATTTGCTTATAATTTTGGTTACAGTGTGGGTTTATGTGTTGTGTGTGTGTGTGTTTGTGAATTTTTCGGTTTGCTTACGCTCGTGCAAATACATATGTATGTAACAAATTTGCTTGTTAGCTGCGTTTTCTGAATTTTTATTTGCAAATATGTACTTGTATTTCTCAGCATACAAATTTTTGTGTTTTAATTTTTTGTATGCTTCAATTTTATTTTTCTTACTATTTTTTTTTAATTATTATTACTGTTTTTTCTTTCTTCTATTATTTTTATTTAATTATCTTTTGTTCTAATTTGTATTTTGTTTTTATTTTTATTAGTTATTTTTTAATTAGTATTTTTTATTATTATTCTTATTTTTATATTTAATATTATTTATATTTTTTATTTTTTATATTTTTCATTTTTTATATTTTTTATTTTTTATATTATTTATATTTAATATTATTTATATTTATCATTAAATTCATTACAATTTTTATATTTAATATTATTATTTATATTTTATTATTACATTTTTAAGTTTTGTTTTTATTATTATTTGCAATTGTTACAAATTTTTTGATTACATTTCATTAATCTCTAACCGGCCCTAGCTGTCTGTTACCGCTGTTTCTTCTGTTATTTTTAGTTCCTCTTTTTTATTTTCTTTTACACATTAACTGAAAAAAGAAAATTAAAAAACATCAACTGCTTCAAATCTTTTACTAAGCTACTAATTTATTTTTATTTTGTTTTACTGTTATACGCGTTTTTTCAACTAGCTCAATTTTCTTCAATCAAACCAGCCGCATATGCGCCTTGTCATTTAGCTTATGCTTTTTATTTGTTTTATTTATTTATTCTTGTAGTCATCATCTATACAACGCAAATATACATATATGATTTATATATGTGTACACATACATATTTACTTTATAATTAGTTATTTATGCTAAGATTTTTATTTTTCCTTTAATTTGTCGGTAATAATAAAGTTAATATAGTGTTTTCATTTAAATTTAATTATATGCTTTAAATGTATTTTAATTTTTTTCTTAATTTAATTAAATTTTTTTGCTTTCAATTTATATTTGCTTATCGCTATTTTAAATTTATTAGTATTTATGCTTTATTACATTTTTTACTGCACTTATTTTGCCTATTTTTCTTGCTAATTTTCACATTTCTAGATAAATTTTACTTTTTACTATAATTTTTTCTGCTTCCTGCTGCTTTGCTTTATACCAGTATGCCTACTAAACACGCCTGCACTGTACTTGCATATACGTTTTGTTTTTGTTTTTGTTTTTGTTTCATTTTACTCTTGCTAATGATTAAATTATGTTTAATATTGAAAATTAAATTTGCTTTTTTACTCTATTTTTGTTCTTGTTCTTTTTTCTTTATACATTTGCTTGTTGTTGTAATACATTTAACTGCCCTTAGGCGCAAACTGTGATTTTTGTTGCTGTTTTGTAGTTGTTTTTTTCGTATTTTATCTGCCAAAGTTTTTACCAACTCCATTTTTCCCATCATTTTTATTATTTTTTCATATAATATGCAATTAATTATATTTGTTAGTTTAATTTTTTTTTATTTTTTTTTTTTGTTTTTGCTTCCACATTATTCTTTCTATTTATATAATTATATATTTTTTACTTTTTTAATTTCCTTGCTGTACTCGTACTACACACATTCGTTTATGTATATATATATTTTTTAATATTAATTTTTAAATCTTTACTCTTTTTGTTTTTTCTTTTTATATGTATATATATATTTTATTTATTTATTTATTATATATTATGTATTAAATTTAATTATTTTTGTATTAGAATTAATAGGCCCGCCATGTACTCGCTTATTCATCAACTCGCTAACCCATTGTCGTCGCTGTCTGTTGCGGTTGTGTGCCGTTACCGCTCCCATTACCGCCGCCGCCGCCGCCGCTGGCGCCTGCACCACCATTGCCATTACCACCGCCACCATTGCTGCCACCGCTGGCGTTCGGAGCGGCATCGCCCGCGCCTGCCGCTGAAGACGCACCACCAGCCGATGAGGACGACGCTTGCTGTTGATTACCGCTGCCGCCGCCATTGCTATTGTTGGACGCATCGCCGCCAGCGCTCGCTTGCGCTGCTGGTGCCGCTGATGACGCGCCGGCTGTTGCTGCTGCTGCTGAGGCGCTGGACGATGTGTTAACCCCTGCAGCGGCACCACCGCTGCTGGCTGTAGCTGATGCGCTCGATTGTGTGCCTGTTTGTTGTGACAGTTGTGATAATCGTGTTGTTGTAGTTGGTAGCGGAGCAGCAACACAGGGAGGTGAAGGAAAAGAATAACACAAACGTACAATTGATTAGTAAAAATGGCATTTTCAAGCGCGCTTGCAGCAACGCGGTAAGTGTATGAGAGGGGGAGAAAGAGAGAGAGTGTGTGTGAGTGTGAGTGAGAGAAAGTGGAGACTTTGCTGACATTTTCAAACGAAAATAGTGACATTTTGTTAATTGTTAATTTTTTTGATAAAAAACTCAAATAAATTTCTTTAAAAAATTCACAAATATTTTCATCACCACTTAAATATTTATATTTCGCTTTGAAAATTAATAAAATTTACAATTTTTTTTGCATGCAACACTGAGTTAGCCTTCAACGTTATATAATATATATATTTCACATATAATGTTATACAGAGTTTGATTAGGAAAAGAAATTTTATATGCGGAAAAATATAAATAAATACTAATTTTAAAACGCTGAAAAATATGTGTTTTTGTAAAAAAAAAATTATGTGCTAAAAAGGAAGCATACAAAAAAATCGTGGTTTTCAAATGTTGAAAAAATATTAAAAAAAAAAAACATATACAATATAATTAAAAAAAATTTGAAAAAATGAATTATAAATATAATGAAAAAACTATAAATATATAATATAACAAAATATACATAAAATATATTTTCAAAAACTACCTATGAAAAATTAACTTTCAAATTTAAAAAATTATAAATAAATATAAAAAAAATTTCAAAGAAAAAAAATATGTATTGTACATAAAAAATATAAAATAAAAAAATGTTTTAAAAAGTTTTAAAATATCACCAAAAAAAACTGTTTTAAAACAAAGGAAAAAAAATCAATTAAAAAAAAACGCAAAATCAAAAATTAATAAGAAAAATATACATGTGTGTATGTATTTTTACTCCCTTGTTCAAAATGATCGTCGAAATGTTATACTTTCGATTTTACACAACGAACTACCAAGCGTTTTTCTATTAATTTTTTTTTCGGCAATTTTATTAAAATTTTTTCTTTCTTCTTTGCATGAGTTAAACTTTTTAGGTAAATAAAAGTAACGTAAAAAAAAATAAAATGACAGCAACATTTTTTTTTTTATTTATTAAAAGAAAAAATCATAAATGCTGGTAAAATTTAAAAAAAAATTTTTTAAATATAAAAACTAAATAAAATAAATTTTTTCCAGTATATTCAAAGCAAATTGATGTATATGAAATTAATGATTTTTTTTTTGTTTCAAATGCATAAAATTGATACAAGATGATAGCAAAAACTCTACGCCAAAGACAGTGGAAGAATAATTATGCATGTTAATACTACCACTACAACAAAAGAATTATGCGAAGAAATCTACATAATAAAAAATATATTCAGCAAGTTAGAATAATAAAAACCCAAAAGCCATTTTTTAAGTAAAATATTTTTGTATTTCTTTATTTTTTCCTTAAAATTGTTTTTTAATATTTTTTCTCATAGCATATATTATGTTGTTTTTTTGTTTTTGTTTTTGTTCATTACAAATAATAATTACAATAAATTTAATTGTCTATTTTTTTTTAAAGCATCTTCTCTTTCTCAGTTTTTTTTTGTTTTGTTTTTAATATGTTTTGTAAAATTAATTAAATCACGCTGTACATGTATTTATGTACGCTTTTCTGCACTTTTCTCTCTCTAAAGTTTACAACATGATTTCACTTAAGTTGAGTTAAAAAATATAGTAATAATATAGTTAATTAAATTAAAAAAAAAAATATATATGTATATATGAACAGAAAACGAGAAACGAGAAAAGAAAAATATATTTATGCATATATGTATATAAGTTTATATATGTTTATATTAATTTTAAAATTTTTTCATTTATTTGTTTTATTATATATAGAACTAGCATCTTCGTTTTGTTATTGCATTAGAAATTAAGTTTTTCTTTATATGTTTAATTTCAAAAATTATAGTACACATCAACATCAACAGCTGTTTTTTTTCAACTCCCACTCAATTCGTGCTTGTACCTCCTCTTTCTCGTCTTTCTGTACACCTTCAGACGTGCTCCAAAAATTTGTGCTTCCTCCAGCCACCGACTGACTCCCTTACAAGTTCTACACAACAGCTCGCTTAAATGTATGCTAATTTAAAATTATAAAAAAAAAAATAATAAACAATGCCAGGCACAAAAGAAATAAATATAAATATTAAATTTCTTTCCCTCGTTTTTTTTTATATGTTTCATGAGCTTTCCATTAAAAAATCGAAATTGCCGCACAAATTTTAATGTTTCAATTTTTTATATAAAACAGCGAAAAGTTATTTATTTAAAAACGAAAATTAAGCAACTAAAAATTTAACTTAATTTTTTTTTTACATAATATTATGAATATTTAGAGAGTTTATTTTTTCTATATGGTTATACTGTTATTGTTTGTTGCTGCTTCTTCATCATCACTCTTCTCTCTTTCGCTTTCCTTATTGTTCTTCTGTACATTGGCGCGCTTCGTATGTTGTTTGTGCTTATTTTTGCTGTTATTTGGTGTTTGATTGCCCCAATATGCTGCTGATATTAGTTCTGCTTCTTATTCTTCTTCTTCTTCTCATGCTTCTAATATGCCATGCTGCTGGTTTAACAGTATTAACAACTTTTTGAGTTTTTTTTTTGCAGAAATTTTTCTTAAAAAGTGCTTTGAATTATTGTTTTTAAGCTTTTTACTACATCATATACATATACATATTTTTGATTATTTTATTTAATTTAATATATATAGCGCTTGTTGTGCTTGCTGGCTATTACTATTTCTTTTTCATTTAGCTTTACTTAAGATTTGACATATTTTTTCAATTATTTATTATTTAATTTTTTTTTTTGCTTCTCTATGTTATTGTGCATAGGTACAATTTTGTTGTTGTTTTTTGTTTTTCTTGTAGATAATTATTTTTCATATATATTCTTTTAATTATTATTATTATTATTAAAACATAACGTAAGAAAGAACTATGCCACTATGAATCTGTAAAAAATAAAAATATACAAACATATATATATATATATATTCAGATAAAATAAAGAAAGGGAAAGGAGAGAACATAAATACATAAAACATTTTTTTTCTTTAATTTTTTTTCAAACCAAACTTGAATTAGCAAAAGAAAATAAACAAAGCATTTGTTGTTATCAACAAATTGGACGAAAATCGAACAAAAGCAAAAAAAAATAAATACAATTATTTCAAATAAAAAAAAAATTAATATAAAATTAAAATATGATAAATTACAAATTACAAAAATAAATACAAAATTTAAAAAAAATTAAAAAAAATTCACAACTTGTCTGCGTAAATTTTCAAATGAGAAATTAAATGACAAAAAATATGCTCTTTAAGGAAATGACACACAGAAAATTAATACCAACGCCGACAAATAATAGCAAAAATTCTCACGAAAAATATTTTAATATGAAAAAATATAAATAGAAAACCTTTAATTTGCGAAAAAATAGTTGTTTAAACAAATTGAAATTTTAGGGGGGGAAATATTTCTAAAACAACAACAAAGTTTCAGAAAGAAATAAAAATAAAAAATTAAAACAACAAAAATATATTCATCACATAACTGCTACAAATGTATATAAAAGAAAACATATACACGCATGCCTATAATATTTATTAAGTTTTTAGCAACTGTAAATTAATAAACAATTTGTAGGCAAACAAACCAACACCACTACATGCATACAAATTTACAAACTACATAGTTTCTTTGTAACTCTCTTCATTTTTGGGGTTTCAATAATATGCACTTTTTGTTGTTGCAAATTTGTATTGTTAAAGCCACAATAAGAATAACAATAACAATTTAAAATATAACAAACGAAAAATTAACAATTAACAATGTCTTTTTATGCAAATCTTTTTTTTGGTCTGACAATTTTCTTCTTTTTTTTGTTTGGTGTGTTAAGTTTTTTTTTTTTTTTTTTTGAAATGTATAATTAATTAATTTATTTTTTCTTTTAATTTCTATTTTTTTTTTTTTGCATATTTCGTATTCAAAAACACAATGCTACTAACCTGAAGTTGCTTGGGAAGCTGCGCCGCCTGGCGTACCGGCGCCACTTGACGGATTTGATGCTGAGCCAGAAGCACCTTCGCCACCAGCACCGGCGACCGGTCGACCTGCGCTGTTATTTTGCAGATGTTTTGGCAACAATTGTGGGATTAGGCTTGGCTGTATCGAAAGTTCTGGAAGTGAGGAAGTTAAGAAAATTGTTAGTAAGAAAAATTCAAGAAAAATATATAAAGAGAAAAAGGAAACTAAAAACTATTATTAAAAATTACAAAATAGAAAAATATTAAAATTTACAAAAAAAAAAAAATATTAAAAATTTTATTTGAAAAATTGCAATAGAATTAGAGTTAAACTAATATAAAATATAAATAAAAATTAAATTAATAAAAGAGTTACTACAATTTTTCAACACTCACCATGCTCTGTGAAATTAAATAATGGCGGCATTGGCTTTCCATTGGGCAATGTTGTATTACCCTCCTGACGCAGTTCATCGAAGAATGGATGTGCGCACGCCTTCAAGGGCGTTATACGTGCACTGGGCGTGTACTCGAGCAGTTGTGATACCAAATTGATAGCTTCTGTCGGAGTGCGTATACGGAAAACCTGTGGAGAAAATTTACAAATTTTTCTTTAATCTTTCAATTCTAGTGTCAAAAAAATTACGACTTTACAAAATACTATACAAAAATTAGGTACGGAACGTAGGAACGCAGTTTGTATTAAGAAGAGTGGTGTGGTGTGTGTTTGGAAATAGGCCGAGAAAAAAAGGTAGGAAAATCCAATGAGAAACTGGAGTGAGAAGCTTCAAATACATTTTTTTTTTCCAAAATTTACAAATAAATATAAATATGTATGCTTGGAAATTAAATTAAAAAATATTATTTAAGATGCTCAATGTACAAATATGTATGTTATGTAGATACGCCGATCAAAGTATTTTATGCATGGAAAAAGGAGTGTTTTTGATTCAAAGTATCCCCTCCCGCGCGTCTTAAAATTTACTTGAGCTTGTTTCTTGAATTTTGCGCCTAGAAGATATTTCTATTATGTGTAAGAAGTTGACGAAAAGACAATTTTTTTTAAAAAAGAATTTTTGGGTATTATATTTATTATTTTAGAAAATTTAAGAAAAAATTATGCAACTTTTAATACTTATATATTTTTATGTATTTTTTAGATATTTTTCTTGTATTCTTTACATGTTTTTGTATTCATTCAACTTCTTTAAATATTTCTAATACCATTTTTTTCGCTTAAAATTTATTATTTTTAAGAGAACAAATTTAATTTTAATTTATATTAAATAAAAACATAATTTTCCAGCAGCAAGACAAAGTAAAACGCAAAAGCGCCTAAAAGATACTACAAAGTATCCTGTCAAGAAAAAATTTTTTAGTAATTAAATTAAGACCATTACTTTAGTTAAACGATTTGTAGGCTTAAAAAAGCTAGAACGGTTGATAATTATTGCATTTACTTTTTCTGCCCACCTAACGGTTATCTGCGTACCCCTTACTTATTAAAATTTGAAAAATCCTGACAATTTCTTCATACGGTGCCAGGGCGGTGTATGAAACTATGAATAAGCTAAATTGCTGCAAATGAATAAGTGAGGTTATGGCGAAAAAGAAAAGTAAATTAACAAGAAGGTGTGCAAATATTTGTAAAATACTATGCATGTACATACATACATATGTACAGCAAATTTCACAAGGCAACGACGCTGGGGTCAGGTCACTCGGCAGGAATGTGAAAGGCGATTTTTGTTGTTGGTTAATTGCAGGGTGAGCTAACAAAAAAAAAATGCAGAAGCAACGCCTTGTATGCACACATACGTACACATACAGATTTATAAGCAAATAAATTGTATTATTATTTTATGGTAATTGATTTTCAGTAGCAAGCGGACGTTATATTTTTAATAACAAATTTAAAAAAAAAAATATATATTTTATTTCAATATTTTATTTATGTAAGAACGCAAGCCGATCGATAATTATTTTTTTTCTTGTTGTTGTTTTCATGTTAGCTTTCACAGTCGGTTGTGCAAGCAGGCATCCAATTCATCAGTCCAAACAATACATATACATACATATGTACATACAAACAAATTCAAGTGGAGGAAAAACGTTAATTTAAGGTAAATATTTAAATCGATACCGACACAGTTAGCGGTGGCGGTGGCAGCGGAGGGGGGAGTTTCTGTGAGCATTTTGCTTATTTTTCTTTTGTGTAGGTTTCTACATACATACATACATACATACATACATATGTAAGTTCAAAAGTACAATATCTTGTACTTGTCTTTGTTGGTACAAGTGTCTTTCTTTTTTAATTTTGGTTTTTGAAATTCAATTTTTTTCTCTTTGAATTTCCATTTGCAATTTTAGCTTGTTTGCTTGCGTGTTAACTAGAAATTTTTTTTTTATGTTTATTGTTGCTTTTGTTTCTGTTTATTTTTTATTTGGTTTGGTTTTTGCTTACTCTCCAACGTTGCTTCTGGTTTAGGGCGCTTGAAAATTGGCTACGTTCAAGTAGTGACTGCAAATAGTTCACACTTCAGTTAAACACAAATACAAAAACAAATAAATGTACAACAAATACATAGAAAAGTGTGAAGCCAAATAATGTGAAGAAAAATAATGGATTCTAAGAAAAAGATTTTCAATTACTAACTAATAGTAGAATATGGTGTAACATGAGTTTGTGCAAATTGTAGAGAGGAAGAGATACTGTGGGAGAGAGAGAGAGAGAGAAAGAGAGAGTGACAAAGCAAAATCATTTCTTTCTTCAAAAGGAAATGTGTGTTTGGTGGGTGATGAGGATATTAGCTACAGCGTTAGTTCAAATGTAAAACGCCTAACCTTGGCTAACGGTGTTTGATGTGTATGTACGAACGAACGTGCAATTCAATAAAAAAAAAATAAACTTCAACTTCAAATTTGACTACGCTAAGTGAGAACGACTAAAAATTAGACTGCTGTGGTGCAGTTGAAAATCGATAAACCAAAACTTGAGTGAAGATACTTAAATTTAATAATAAATTATTTTTATTAAAATAAAAGCTATTTAAAATTACCGCAGATTTTTCATTTTTGAGTAAACACAAATTTATTAACTTGCTCATATGACGTCAAACAAAAATTATAAAATTTCTCATAACCTCAAATTTTTCTTTATAAGCTAAATTCTTAATTCATGAAATTGCACAAAATTCAATTTAACACAAGTTGAAAACATTCATAATTACTACCAAATAACCACTGTTAATTAACATAACCTCAGCTTTTTCATATTTAGCTCAAATTTAAATATATAAAGTAATTTCTGAATTCTCTCAAATTTCGTTAAATCACAAATTAAGTGATTTGCTTTTTTCTGAAAATTTTAATTAATTTAATTACAATTTTTATTTAAAAACTTTTGCACATAAAATGAAATTTTACGTTTTCAAGCTAAATATAAAAACTAATTCATAACCTCAAATTTTTCGTTCTAAGCTATATTTGAAAACTAATTAAAAAATTCCCCCAACAAGCTCATATTTTTGCATAAACTGAAAGAACTTGTCCAACATAACACCATTTATTCTACATATATAATACATTCTGAGATGAAATTGTTACTAGCTAAAAAAATTTTATTTTAAAATATTTAAGAAAAAACCTTCACTTCGCTTTCATAACCTTCAATGTTAGGTTTTCTACATAACTTCTAAATTTAAGATATAAACTCAAATTTCTTCAACATAACCCTACTATTTTTTCTTTACATAACCTCAACATTTTCTTTTTTCCTTACCTCAACTTTTTTGTTTTTACTCTAGCTTTTTTTCTATATTTAGCAAAAAATATGAAGAAATATTTCATATTCATGCTTCGATTAATTTATCGATTTCCAAACAGATGTTTTTATCACATAACTATGGCTGGCTCTAAACTGGGTTTTTTGTCGTCTTGCTATCATATAAATTATAAACAATATATATCATTACTTACTTTCTGCCATGGATGACTCTTAATTTGTGGAAATTTGAATTCCGTGTAATTTGGATTCATTTCGCGTATTTGTTCTCGTGTCGGTGTGCCCAAAACTTTGATAACCTCAACTAATTGATCGACACCAGAATCGCCGGGGAATATCGGTTGGCCGAGTAATAATTCAGCTAATACGCAGCCGGCGCTCCACACATCTAAAAAAAAAATAAAGAATGGTAAAGAAAATAGGTTATAAAATATATATATATGTAAATAACTATTAATTTTTCCATTTTTTCTTTTTTATATAATATTTGTTTTTATTATTAATTTATTGAGATTTATTATTATTTTTTATTAATTTTGCACTTAACTTTTTTTATTTACATAAAACATATAAATTTTTACGATTTTATATTTTTCTACTTTTCTACTTACCAATTTTTGTAGTGTAATTAATGGCTCCGAATATTAATTCTGGTGCACGATAATACCGCGAGCAAATATATGATACATTCGGTTCGCCGTGCAACAATTGTTTAGCGCTGCCAAAATCACATAATTTCAGCACAGCTGTTTCTGGATCCAAGAGTAAATTTTGCGGTTTGATATCACGGTGACAGATACCCAATGAGTGGATGTAGGCCAAACTTCTGAATAGTTGATACATATAGAGCTGATGGATAGAGAAAAAATTAATCAAATAATTGCGAAAATTCAAATATTTTCAAAAAACGATATAGTTGATTAATATTTTTAAAGAAAAAATTTACAACAAATGAAAAAAATATATAATATAAGGTTGTAATAAGAAAGTATTTTCATAAAAAATATTTAAGAAATAACTAAATTCGAATTAAATGGAAAATTAAGAAGAAGAAAAAAAACATATTTATAAGACATTAAAAAATAAAAGAAATTAACGAACAAAAAAAGAACAAATAAAAAAAAAAAATAAATAAAAAAAATAAATAAATAATAAAAAAAAAAATAAATAATAAAAAAAATAAAACTAAATAAAAAAATAATAATTACAAAAATTTAATAAAGTTAAAATTTATACATAAAAATTAAAAATAAAAGAAATTTACTTACCCGTATAAAATTAATTGGTATCGTTTGCTTAGTTTTGGCATATTGACGTGCCACTTTGTATACGGTTTCTGGTATATATTCGAGGACTAAATTCAAAAACACCTCATCACGCTAAATTCAAAAGAAATGAAAATATTTGGAAAAGAGTAAAAATGAGTATTAAATTTTTTTTCCACATATCGAAGGCAAACAGTCACAGACAGAATTAGTGCACAGTTAGCGACTGGCGTATGAAAGAAACGATTGATAAAAAACGAAAACACTTAGGGTAGGAAATTAATATGAAGGAGTGTACTTTATGTATGGGGCGGCGGGCAAGGCAAAGAACTTAATATTATTATTTATATATATATATATTGTATATATATTACCGTTACAACGAGTGGTAGTAAGTAGCGGATAATTACTATTAAATTATTTACACGATGAAATTTCAAACACAACTTTTTTTTATATTATTTAATGAGACGCGAGCAGAGCAGTAAGTTCAAAGAATTTGTGTGGGGGAGCGTAGTAAAAAAAAAAAGTAATTTCAGCAGTGTTGTATTGTATTTTTATATACATTTTCTGGCATTTTTATGTAGTTTATTATTATTATTAAGGCAACAAGCGTTTTTGTAGTAGCATAACAGCGTTTTAAAGAATTTTCGTTAGCACTAAAACAGAACGAAATGTCGTGATGACATGAGACAGACAGATATTTATATTTGCGCGAGTTGCAGCATTTCAACTTTTTTTTTTTTCATTTTTCATTTTTTCATTTAACTTGTTTTCTGAACGATGAGATGAGTTTCTAAAATATTTGAAATTTTACATATTTTTATATTTTTCTTTTTTGTTTGTTTGCATGTAACATTTTCTAGCTACCTGCGGTTTAAGGACACTGGCGAGTATGCCAATATCAATCGGAAATTCGGCTAACTGCATTTATTAAAGTTTTTGTTTTGGTTTCGGTTTTTTTTTTGTTTAAAGTTGTTTGGTTTATTTTTTGATTTGAGAAAGTTGTAAACAATTGTTGTTTTTATTTTTGGCAAAATTCAATTGTTTGACGAAAATGCATATGCACATTTTTTCGGGGGGTAGAGAAGAGTTGTACATATAATTATAAATATAAAAAAAGAATTCATTTAGTTAATCATAGCATAAAAACTTAAAATATTGATAGGTATTTTTTTTTTTTTTTTTTTTTTTTTTTTTGGTGACAAACTGCATGAGAAACTGTTTGAAAAAAATGAAAAAGGAAACGAAACGAAGACAGGATCACGACAAAAGGTGATGAGATATGCATTTGCAAGTGAATGCAATGAAACAAGTTTTTCGTCTGCTTGTTTGTTGTGAGCGCAGTGTTGCATTCACTAAAAATGATATTTATTTTTGAGAAGTTTTTTGTAGTTGTTTTGTCCATTACACGTTGTGAGGCCAGGCCATTATTTGCGTGAAAGCGCAAGCTGCTGCTTCTTAGTAGGTACATATAATATTCGGTTATGTATGGATGTACATATATAAGTATGTGTTTGTTTTGTGTTTAGTAATACGCGCGTTAGTTGGTTTATTTGAGAATTTCTTAAAAAATCTGTTACTCACCTTTTCACCACTCGAATAGAAAAAATACAAAAGTTTTACAATATTACAATGCTCCAATTTGCGCATAATTTGCAATTCACGATTCTGTGTGGACGAGAAGAAAGAGAAAAAAATTAATTAAACATTTAATAATTAAAAAAAATTTAAAAAAATAATTAAATTCAACAAAGACATTGAGAATTTTTTCATTATTTTTTATTATACTAATAAAAATTGTGCGTACTTTTTGCTTAAAACGCCCAAAAATTGTATGGAAATGGATTTTTAGTCAAAATACAATGGGCAGTGTGCACCACAATTAATAACGCATGCTATGCTAGTTATCGATTATCGATACTTTTTGCATATGCAAGAAAAAAAAGCTTCAATTTAATTTATGCTCTTGTGACTTGAATAAAAAAATCTCAAAATGATGATTATTTTTAAATTTTTAAGTAATTTTTGCACCATACTGTAAGATTGTGTGATTTTTTTTACGTCGCTATGTTGTCGTTGCCGTATTTAAAGCGTACTCACCTTAAATCGTCTGTCTTGTAAAACTTTTTTGATAGCTACCAGCTCGCCGGTATCGCATAATTTCGCTTGAAAGACCACACCGAAACTGCCATTGCCAATCACCTTGGTATCTGTGTAGGAAACTTCTTGCACACGATCCGTACCTTGACCAGGTGTGGCAACGACTGTTGTAATCTTGGAACCATCTCTGCCTGTGGGTTAGAGAAATAGAGTAGAGTTGTGAAAAAAAATTGTTAGAAAGTGTATATTGTATATCAGATAAGTATTTATGAATAAATTAAACGTTTACAACTAAAGGTAAAGCACAAGTTTTTTTTTTAAGAACCTCTAGACTAACTAAGATTTTGTTTGCTAAAATATTATACTTATTTAGTAATTATAGTATTTAAAAACAATATTTTTCTACCAAAATTAATGCAAAACACACAAAATGTTGTGCAACTAACCTCACTTCAATATATATAAAAAAAAAACTACAAATAATTCGAAATGTTATGAAATAATAATAATTATTATTTTTATTAAATTTAAATACAAATTAATTTATATGCATATATCGTAACGATAAATTTTCCGTTAATGAAAGAATTTCAAACGATTCGGTTGAAACATTTGGAAATCCTATCATTAAAACAGTTACCAAAATAAATTCTATTTCGAAGCGAAATGCTGTCGTTACTGTTAAATCATTAACAGATAATGTTAAACGTTAAAATTGCGGTGTGCTGTTAACATCACAGCAGGCAGCCATTTTAAAATTAACATTAACTTTAATTTTTTTTCTTTTCAACATTAACGATTTCATTTCGTTTCGATAAAATAGCGCCGAAACGAAACAAAATCATTTCGTTGAGTTTATTTTTCATATTAACAAAACCAAATGAAATCGTTTCGTTAGTTGAACATCACTGGTATGGTATATAGTACAATAACATTTACCTATCGTCTCCCAAGCGCCTTCCAATTTTTCTTGCGTCACATCGATTTCTCTTGCTACAGAAATCGGAACACTACGATCGGGCCAGAGGCCATTTAATTTACCGATTAGCTGACGCATGCCTTAAGTCACCACACGCACGTACAGTAAACAGTAGGTGTGGGTGGTGATGATGAGCGGCAGTAACGAGTACAAAGTTTAAGAGTTGTGAAGCGAAAAAGAAAGAGTGTGGACACATACATACACACGCATTAATTGCAAAATAAATACATTTTCATTATGCATTTTATTTTTATTTTACTAAATTTTTTTCTTTATATATGTATGTATTTTTTTGTTTTGATTTTTTGCATTTTTATATATATTTTTTTTTAGGAATTTACGAGCGAGCAGCGCGCAAAAAATAATATGGCGTTTACACCAGCTGCCCTCCAAGCGCTTATCAATCAGCTGCAAAAGTATTTTTCTTTTGTTTTTCATTTGTAGTTGTCAAGTGAAAAATGGAGCGTGTTGCTAAAAACAAAGTCATAAACATATTTACAATAATAAAAAAAAAAAAAAACAATATGGGAGTGAAGAAACAAAAAGAATTATTTCCTTTGTTAATTGCTGCTGCTGCTGCCAACCTAGAAATCTGATGCAGTAAATTCTCCACAATTACAGCCCTATAATAATAACAATAATAATATATATGTACATACATATGTTTGTCATATACATATACTCGAGTTTATCAGGCAATGCGTTTTCGCTGACGCTTATCGCTTCAAAATTTTCACTTATTTTTATTGCCATTTTATTGTAGGCTTTATTTTTCGGCCATTTATATTGAAATACTAAACTCTTGCGTATTTTCGTTGTTGTTATGTGCGTAAGATCGAGTCGCTTGATAAAGCAACATCACAGTATTTACACAAATTATCTTTGTTTATACTAGTATGTTGATTAAAAAACAACAAAGTAGCCAGAAAAACAATCTAAGTCTAGGCTGCAGCGCTCTCTTTCTCTGTGTGTGTGTGTGTGTGTATTCGTGTCCGTGTAATGTGTACTCAACTTTACGAGTCTTAAAGAGTGTTGAAAGAATTTCGTTTATCCTTGCTGATAAGCTAAATTGATAACGCCAACAGCCACAAGGCTATAAAAGAGTTTTGAAATGACGAGTAAACAAAAAAAAATTTACGAATTTCACAAAATTGTGTGTCTGTTCAAACGCCACAATGTCAATAAAACGCGCTAAACTTGAACATACATTTCATTTCTTTGCCTTGCTTAAGGCGAACTTACACACACCACAACACACTAATTGAATTCACGTTGCGCACGTGTGTGAACACTTGACAGTTGCCATTATATCAAGAGGGAAGGGGAAAAATATAAGAAAAAATGCACCAGTAGTAAGTGAGTGGGCGGGCGCCTTCTTCTTGACCCAATGACAGTTTAATGTCTGTCACTCAAGTCACAGTGAAATGAAGGTGTGGAGGAAAAAATTGAAAAAAAAAAATAGGAAAACAATAAAATATAATAAAAAAAAATAAACAAAATATTAAAGAAAAAATTAACAAAATATATATATAAAAAAGAAAAAAAATTGAAACATATACATACATGTGGCAAAAAAAAAAAAATAATTAAAATAAAAATAAATTAATTAAAATAAAAATAAATTAATTAAAATAAAAAAATTAATTAAAATAAAAATAAATTAATTAAAATAAAAAAAATTTATTAAAATAAAAATAAAGTAATTAAAATAAAAAAAAATAATTAAAATAAAAATAAATTAATTAAAATAAAAAAAATTAATTAAAATAAAAATAAATTAATTAAATTAATTAAAATAAAAAAAATTAATTAAAATAAAAAAATAATTAAAATAAAAATAAATTAATTAAAATAAAAAAAATTAATTAAAATAAAAAAACTTAATTAAAATAAAAATAAATTAATTAAAACAAAAATAATAATTAAAATAAAAATAAATTAATTAAAATAAAAAAATTAATTAAAATAAAAATAAATTAATTAAAATAAAAAAAAATTAATTAAAATAAAAAAGTAAATTAAAAAGAAAAGTAAATTAAAAAAAAAAAGCAAATTAAAAAAAATATACGCAATGAAGATAAGCTAGAGCTCCTTCTCCCACTGTTAGCTATAATTGAATTGTTTTATATTTAAATATAGTTTTTCTCTTCTGCTAACGCAGCGCAGCTGTGACAGGTGTTGACACGCCCGTTTTATTTTCAACTAACGCCGAATGAATGTTGCCCTTAACTTTGACATTCAAACTGTCAATGTATGAAAATATAACGTTGACGCGCAGCTGATGGGACATAACAGCCAATGTACATATGTATGCGTTTATGTATGTATGCGTGTATGTATGTATGCGTGTATTGTGAAAAGTTATGGCAAATAATTTTAATTGCCACGTTTAGAAAAAATACGCTGAAGCGATTTTCGGCGGCAAACTTATAAGGACTGTAATTTTCTGCTGTACTTAAATATATTTAATTTTTTTTTATAATTTCTTGTTTTTTTATTCTTTTCTTTTTTAGTGACAAACATATTTATTTTTAATTAAATTTGGCAAAAGTACAAATTTTTTAAGTTTTTTTTTTTGCTTGCTCTCGCGCAGCTCAAAGAAGAAATCGAAGGTTGGCTGTTGTCACTTTTATTTCAATATGCACCTGCCAGTAGTCAAGGTAGTGAATACTTGAAAAAAAAAGTTAATTGAAAATAAGTTAAAAAATGCAAGGAAGCAGCGCAGCACTTGCACATATATTTCAATACAATTATTGAAAGCAATAATAAGAATTAAATTAAATAAAATTAGTGATTAATCGATAATTAATTTAAATGTTGCACTTGAAATCCTTTTTACAAAAAAAAAAAATTACAAAAATAAAAAAAATTCGAACGAAAATTATATATAATATATAAAACAGATATATAAGTATGTAAGTTGTATTACCAACCCACTTGTACAAATTCTAATAAAAAAGCAACTGAAACTCGTTGTCCGCAGTTCATTCACTTACTTCACCGCCAACAACAATTATGCAATTAATCAAATTTTTAACTGGCATTAGAAGTAATAAAAAAGAATAGTAAAGTCTAGAACGGAAATTGAAACCGGTATATGCGTGTTGTATGTCAGGGGCCGACAATGGCATAGCAAAGGCCACAAACGTTATGCAAAGAAATTTGAAAAATATTTACTACATATGCATATAAATATAAAACTTTTTAAAAAATAAAAAAAAAATAAATAAAAAAATATTATAAAAAAAAATAAAATAAGAAAAAAATAATAAAAAAATGCAATGTTAAATCCAATTAAAAAATATTTTTATCTTTTGTATTAAAAATGAGTAGTCAGTCGCAAAATATAATAAAGCTATTAAGCAGTAAATTTAAGTGTTTATATTGCAAAGCCTGCAGTTAGAGGATAAACGCTTATAAACATGCTAATAAAAAATAAAATTGTTTTCAACCACATCCGCGAGAAGTGTATTTGAAAGAAAAGTCTGTAGGTAGTCTTTCGAGTGTAGATAATTGTAAATCAAATGAGAACTCTCACAAATGATAACCATAAAAACTGGCAAGGTAGCGCGACACACAGACCACTTTGCAAATAACATAAAAATTTACGACAAAAATATTAAAAATAAAATACATATATATAAAAACAGCTTCAAACGTTTGTTGTTGAAATAAATGCTGGTGGGCTTTCACTTCGATTAAGAAAATAGTGAAATTTTAATGTTAAAACTGTTTAGGCCGATTATAAAATGCACACACCCACACGCTTATTAGCTTCAGCTTTGCATTTGACCCTTGACACAGGTGAGTTGGCATAATAATTTCAAATAAAAGTTGAATGTCTTCAATGTAAGCTGAAATGTAAAAATGGCTTACTTGCGCTGGCAGCAGCGGTATAAACAATGGTATCGGAAATCGATAACAAATCAGAGTCTACTTTAGATTGTACTTATTATTATTTAAATTATATTCAATTTTGTTTTACGCTGCTCACTCGTTTTTAGTTTTCTTTTGTTTAAATATGTATGCACATAGTATGTATGGTATTTCGCCTATATTACTTGGATCGTATTGCTTTGAATTTGTGCGCGATAGATTGCGCGTACTCTTCACGCCACTGCCACTGCCACTACCGATTTTCGCCAATGGCGGCATGCGTTCACCATTACTGCTGGAACCACCCGTATCGCCGCTTGTGCTTGTTGTTGTACCGCTACTTGTTGTTGTTGTCGTTGTTGAGCTAGAACTATAAAGCTCTTTTTGTTTTCTCAACTTCGCTTTAAGCGTCTCCGCTATGGGCGGCTTCTTCTGTAAATTCACGCCGTCGTTGACGTCGCCGCCGCCGCCGGAAACATTTGCCGTACTATTTGTTAGTCTGGTCAAAGGGATGCCGGCGGAAGATACGCGTATCAGGTTGGAGGATTGTGATTTATCGGTTGTGCCACTGCCAACATCACCGCCACCACCATTATCATCGTCCATATCGAAAGAACGCGTTGTTGTTGTTAGCGATGCGGTGGAACTACGTCTTTCAGTGTCCGTTTCACTGGTGGCATCGCTGCCATTTTTCTTCTTTTTCCGCACAATTTTTACGATTTTGCGTGGACGACCCGTTTTGATCACTTTGAAGGCGTTTCTTGTAGGTAATCGCAGCAGAGGCGATTACGCAGCAGCGATATAAAAAAAAATGGGGTTTTAAATAAAAATTGTTTGTCAAAAAAAAAAAAAAACTTGCTGCTGCTATATCCTAGACAATTTGTTATCTTTTTGCAATTTTCTCAACTTCAGTTTTTATTATTGCTTTGGCTTTATGGAACTTGATTTTCGGCGATTTTTTTCCTTTTCGAATGCGTTGACACACTTTTTTTCTTCTACTTTCGCTTAACCTTTAACTTTTTTATGCTCAGTGGCACTTCACCACTTAACAATTTGGTTTTGACCTAGTTTCATCAGCACGCCTATAGAGCGAGTGGACCGTAAAATAAAGGAACAGCTGCCAACAGTACAGGGCAGGGAAATCGCGCGCGTAGTTCTAGTGACTGAGTGTACTGTGAAGGAAAATAAAAAATGATTGAAAAATTAACCGTTGCAATCACACAAAACACGTACGAACCACCGACGAGTTAATTGCATTGACGACCAACGGAAACTACTGCAATGCTGTTATGGCAAATCACGGGGGACTCTCGCCGTGGGCCACAATAATTGCTTTCGCACGGCAACTGCTCCTTTGTAGAATGTTTTGGTTTTTTCTAGTTTTAGTTGAGAGCAAGTTTTCTCGCATCAATGCAAAGAAGCAAAGAAGAGTGAAATAGAGAAGAAAAGTTGAAACAGTACAAAAAAAAAATGCAATGCACTGAAATCAAAGTTATGTGAACGATAGGTAAATATAAAAAAAATTGAACTTCGATTGTCGTCAATGAAGAGCAACCACCAACACTACGCTGAGCGACAGCGAATGACACACGACGAATGCACTTTTTCATTTTTTCATTTCACATGCTCAACAACGATGCAGCGTTGTATTTTAATTGGCAACGCAGCGTGCATTTAGTATAGAAAATAAAAAACAAAAACAAATTAAAAAAAAAAACGTAAAATTTAAAGAAAACAAAACATCAAGAAAAAAATCTGTGACCGCCATCAACCCACGGCAGCTACCTCAAAGCGCTACCCAACGCTTCTTAATAGATGAAAACTAACAACAACAACAAAGACAAATAAAATTAAAATAAAAAGAAAACTAAACAAAATTAAAATAACAAAACTAAAAAAATAAATAAAATTAAAATAAAATAAAAAAATGTTGAAAATCAAAGGTAGACAAATTTCGGTTTGTGTTAGGTCGCTTGAAAAATGTGCTTTGATTGCGCGGCGCGTAATTAAGAAAATTGTCGAAAATAATTTATTTGCGAGCGTGCGAACGAGAGTGAGTGAACAAAACAAATGTAAGCTGTTGCTAAATGCCTTAAATAATGCAAGACAAAAAAAATATATATACATATATATCTATGTATTCGCAATTAAAATGTGAGCAGCGGCAATGAAAGATGAAGAAGAAGAAATTCATAACATAAATGCATAAAGAATTAATTATTTCTATATTTTTACAAAAAATAACTAATAAACAAAAAAAAAAACTATTGCTGCTAACCGCTACTTTTCCTCGAAAATATTTATACGCTCTTCATGTAAATTCCCGTTTTCCGTGTACCAAGTGTGTTAAAGTTATCGCATGCGATAAAAAAAAATCGGCATAAATAGTGCACTACATTTCACCTATCAAATTTTTGGAGGCGGGATTATCATTATTTTCCACCATTAATTTGACATTTGTAAATTCATCATCAACATGCGCATTTCTGCATAAATTATAATATTTTTTATTTAAATTGTCACGCTAAAATGCTAATATCAACGCCAGTGTGCAATATTTCTTCTGCTAAGCCAAATCAAACGCAAACGTATACCTTACCAAGTCATTAAAAGTGTTTAGTGAAGCACGAAGCGGCACGAAGCGTCATGCAGGTATTCGGACCGGCGGCTAGACTGATGGCAGTCGCAATTAAATTGTAATAAATTTTTAGTAAAATTTTGTAAAACAACATAAGGATTTGCGAAAAATAATGAGTTAGACGCAAACGCTATTAATAAAGACATCAACAACTAACTCACATTTGTCTGTAAATACATATATACATACATATGTATGTACAAGAAAACATATAGTATAGCAATGTCAATGTTGCGAGCGCAGACGGCAGGCCTTCAATGTGGCTGGCGACTATGCGATTTTAATGGGTTTTCGTGTTGTGGAAAATTGTGGTTGTTGAGGGAAAAAGTTCAAATATTTAGGTACAAAAAAATAGTTTTTATATAAAAAAATTAATTTTGAATTTATATAAAAAAAAAAAACTTATCAGTTGGCACTCGATTAATCGATGAAAAGCAAGTAAATAAATTCATTAGTGTATTTTCGTCAATTAATTGCACAAATATCAATCAATCTTGATTTCATTATGTAAACATACATATTAAGTCTACACGTCAATCATGACATAGAAAAATCATTTACGTCAAATATTTTTATTGTTGAGATTTTTCTATCACCTCGCACACTACAATATAATGGAATTAAATATTATAAAGCTAATAAAAATATAAAAAAAAAATCTTAATAAAAAAAAAACAATTACAAATAATTCTTTCACACGCAAATTGAAACAGCATTAGCATTAATTACTAAAAAACCCACAACCAACTCCATTTATTGCAAACTATTAAATAAACGCGCATTGCTGTTGTTGTTTTGGGGGCGTTTGTTTCTCTTTGATATAAAAATATGCATTAAATTGCAAAAATCACATGAGCAAATGATAATTAGACAATTAACTGATAGTGTGGCATTACTTTGTTTAAGCGATATTTCTTTCACCACAATAATAATAATAATCGATTGTAAAATAATTATTGATTATAAATAGAGTAAACACCTGCTGTAAGCCGGTTAGACAAATTGACGCTCTGCTAATTTAATAAAAAACATACATACATATGTAAATTGATTCATTTGCATAGGAAAATTTATGATTTTAAACCTGTTGTGCTAAGTGTTTATGTGCGCTGTTCTTCATTCAATAAAAAGGCAATTATAAAAATGTTTGTGTGAATAAAAAAAAATTTAAATTCGCAAATGAGTAAATGAGAATGCGGCAAAAGCTTAAAAATCCCTTCCTTGCCTATTTTTTCTATTAGCTTTTAATATTTTTATTTTGTCAATCAATCAATTAACAAAATTCCGCGATAATACAGAGAGATAAAAGTAATATCAACACTCTTTACAATAACAAAACGTGTCTAGAAGCTGACTGTTATCGGTTCATAAAATTTATCGATAGCACACATTTGTGTTTGTAGCACTTATTGGTGGTTCATCTGAGTGTTAATGACATGTGATCATATGACAGCCGACAACGTGAAACGGCAATTTATGTTTATTTGCAGTGGACAAGATGGATCATGCACGATCTTATTAACACGTCTAAAGTTAGTTCTCAAATTGTGTTATAGATACATATATATGAGTACAAATTTACTTAAATGAACGTCGAGTATGCTAAAAATAAGTCGTTTGCTATTTATCAATACACTATTGAAATGTAGGAATTTGCAAATACACAAACGATGGTCTAACTTTAACTCAAAGAACTTAAAAATAAACATTTAGCAAACAATTTTGACAGCTAAATATAGAGCGAATGCAAAGTCAAGTTGCATATTAAGTAAATCATATTACTAAAAGTTTAACGTATTTATTTTTAGCCTTTGTATATAAAAGTAATAAATTATGTGTGTGTCAAAAAGTAATGAAGGCGTGGTCGGAAGCGCGAGTAGTTGGAGCTAAACATAAAAAAAAAAATAATAATCAATAGCTCATTATTTTGAAATAAAGTTTACTTTTCTTTCACAACAATATAAAATATAATCCCAATTATGCAGAATACAACAACTCCACTGACCAAACTAAATTGACGCTACATTTTCAATCTGCAACAACTCATGAACGCTTTGAATGACATTGAGTAGCATTTTATAGATTTAAAAAACAAACGTCAAACTATATTTATACAAACTATAATATACGTATATATATATATGTATATTTCTATAAACAAATCAGTGAAAATCAAAGCATCAACTGATGTCCTGTCACGCGATCTTGTTGTTGATCGTGATAGCAGAGAGAAGAGAGCAACAAAATACACGAAAATAAACCTGAACGTCATAACAACAACGAACAAAACAAAGTAACGGCAAAAAATAACTATGTATAAATACAAATCGATTGAAAATCGATAGAGGGATGCCAATTGAAGCGTGAAAGGGTGAAACAAAAAATAAAGAATGAAATAAAAAGTAATAAAATAGTAAACGAAGAAGAAAGTAATAATGAAAAAATCTCAGAAAATAGAAATATAAATATAATGTAATGCATACATATGTAAATCAACATTGTAAGAGTGTGTGTGAATGTTGTTTAAATAAAAATAAACTAAACTACTAGAAAATTTGCAATAACTAAATATATAATGAAGGTGCAAAGAAAAAAGATATATGCAACTATATATGTATGTATTAGCTATGATTGTATAAGGAGAGGAGATTTGTAGGTGAAAACTATAACAGAAAAAATACCAACAACAAAGTAAACACACATGATTTTCTTTTACGAGTGAAAACAGGTGTACCATATAAAGCATGTGAAATATACGTACATACATATGTACGCATGTATGTACAATATAATATAATAATTAAAAATTATAAACTATTACCAAAATATATAGCGTAATCATATAAATAATAGATATAAACAAAAGAACAAACATACGTGAGACAATTTAAGTAGAAAATAATTAGAATAAAATAAAATAAAATATTAATAAAAAAAATAATACTATATAAATATTTAACTATATGTGTTATAATAAAATTTTCAATAAAATAAATTGCAACAAAAAAAAATTAAAATATAAGAAGATTAATTAGAAATAAATTACAAAAAAAAAATTAAATAAAAATATAGAATTTTGAAGAAAATATTGAATAATAAAAAATTAAATAAAAAAATGCTAAATGACATAAAAAAGTATAAATAAAATGAAAA